TATAAGAATAACCCTTCTAATGACAAGAGAGTATAGCTTTGCCTGTGTCAGAAAATGAGGTCTAGACCTGCACTGTTGAAGATGGTAGTTGAGAGCCACATATAATTACTGAGCACCTGGAAGGTAAGTAGTGTGGGGCACCTGAGTGGCTCAGTCAGTTCAGAGTCCGACTCTTGACTTTGGCTCAGATCATAATCTCAAGGTTGTCAGATCAGCCTCACATGGGGCTCAGTGCTAGGTGTGGAGCCTCCCTGAGATTTTCCCTCTGTCCCTCCCTCGCTGCCTCCCTTTCTCTCTTTCTCTAAAAAAAAAAAAAAGAAAAAGAAAAAAGTAGAAGAAGAAATGTAACTAGTGTAACCAAGGAACTGAATTTTAAATTTTATTTAACTTTGTTAATTTAAATTTAAATGTGAAAACGGACACTTAATTCAGTTATTGGAAAACTTGTTTGGAACAACCTGAACATAAGAATTTACTTTTTCATCTATAATGTTTATAAAGTCTAAATACTGATAAAAACTTCTGATGAAAATTTTGTACCACATTGAGATTGTATACTTACAGTGTAAAATATACACTAGAAGTCAAGTATCTTTTTTTTAAAGATTTTATTTATTTATGTGAGAGAGACAGCAAGAATGAGAGCATTGGGGGAAAAGGGCAGAGGGAGAAGACAAGCAGGCTCCCCACTGAGCAGGGAGCTCTGTGTGGGGCTCAATTCAGGATTCCGGAATCATGACCTGAGCCAAAGGCAGATACTTAACTGACTGAACCAACCAGGAGCCCCTAAATGTCAAACATCTTAATGAAATTTTCTATACTGAGTAAATGTGGAAGTGACACTTTGGATTAAATAAAATATATTATTAATACTAATTTTACTTATTGCTCTTTTTTTCTTTTTTAAGACTTTATATATTTGTCAGAGCACAAGCAAGGGGAGCGGCAGGCAGAGGGAGAAGCAGGCTTCCTGCTGAGCAAGGAGCCCGATGTAGAACTTGATCCCAGGATCATGACCTGAGCTGAAGGCAGACGCTTAACCAACTGAGCCACCCAGGCGCCCCTATTTCTCTTTACATTTTTTAATAAGGCCACTGGAAAACTTGTATATACCTAGCTTATATCATATTTCTATTGGGCAGTGCTAGCCTACACAAATGCAAACTTATGCAATTGACACATTCAGAAGCAAATTATAAAAAGATGTTTCTTTCTAGGAACAGATTACCTTAAACTGAAAATATCTCTCTTGCCTCTAAAATGCAATCTCGTTTACATGTTCAAAGTATACGCAATTTTGAAAAAAACCATGGAGCTAAGTAAGGAAAAAAATCTATTTCTGGAATATTTCCCAAATAAAGTATACGAAATCATACTGTACCAAAAATATTAAAAGTAAATTCAATGGAACATTTAGCAGATAACAGAAAAAACAAGGCTGGCATCTAACACTCTAAGATCAGCAGAAGGTACCTAATGCCCCAGAAACACTTCTCAAGGGGATTTAAACACAGGATTATGATCTGAGCAGATCTATGTCAGCTATTTAAGAGAGGAGGGGGAAAAAAAAAAGACCCAGAGTATTTAACAATTCAGAAATCTGAGGCAGTAACTAGAAATACTCATTCTAAGTCGTTCTTTTCAGGGGTGCTTGTGTGGCTCAGTTGGTGAAGTGTCTGATTCCAGCTCAGGTCATGATCTCTGGTTCCTAGGACACAGCCCCACGTCAGGCTCTGTGCTCAGTGGGGAGTCTGCTGAAGATTCTCTCTCTCTCTTTCCCTCTGCCCCTGCCTCTTGTTTTCACTCTCTCTTCTTCTCTCTCTAAAGTAAATAAATCTTTTTTAAAAATTGTTCTTTTCATAAAGGAGGTTTAGAAAATCATGAAACCACAAAGAATGGGAAAGATACAGAAAATCTGAAAACAAAGTTTGAAAAAAAAGTACAGTGGCTTTTTCTTTAATCACAAGATTGTGTCAAGGGAAAGAAAAAGACATTTAAGTTCTAAAAACACAGGAATTGCTTGAAAAACTAGATGACAACACTGATGAATACTGATTTCCAATAAATGCTAGCTATTCTAAAAAAAAAAGGGCCTGTTTATTGCCACAGAATACAGAGATTCATTTATGTGAAAAGCAGACTAAAACATGTATGTTTGGGGGAGATTATTTACTTCTGTTGTTTTACCTACCTTTGATGTTTGACTCCAATCATATTGAGAGGGAGTTTCTTTGCAAATGTTAGCAAAATCATCAGTTCCTCCAAATTCAGAAAATATGAGTGAACCTATCCCTTTAAGTGGTAACCTAGCAACTTGCTAAAGGGATTAGAACAGGACCCTTTGGGGAGGGAGGGCTCAAATCCCAGAAGCAGGTGTTCACTGTCCTCTGAACTCCTGGCTTATTGTGGGGCAAGAACAGACTTTAAAGTCATATCAAAGTAGAACAGATCCTATTCAACAAGTAAATAGCACAAATTGTGAGCGCCTACTATGTGCCAAATATTGAATGATCTCATTAATTCTTCATAAACAATGCCTATAAGGTAGCTATTATCTCCACCTAACTAATACTAAAACAGGTTGAGAGAGTTTAAGTGATTTGCCCCAGACTTACAGCTAGTAAATGCCAAAGCGGGATTTGAACCAGTGACTGACAACCCATGTAAGACTCTTTCCACTGTATCACACAACAGTTCTGATCCAGTTCTGACAGTGTTCAGAGTTCTATAACCTCTGAAGACAGCTACAGGCTAACCCCAGAATTCAGAGCACTGCTTAATATCAAAGAGGAGTAGAGATAAATGAAATTGAGAATAGAACAATAGAGAAAATAAGCAAAAGTAAACGTTGTCTCTTTAAAATTATCAAAATTGACAAACCTTTAGACTAAGAAAAAAAGGGGAAAGATTCAAATTACTAAAATCAGAAGTGAATGGGGACATTACAACTGATCTTACAGAAATAAAAAGGATTACAAAAGAATACTATGAAGGGGTGCCTGGGTGGCTCAGTGGGTTAAAGCCTCTGCCTTCGGCTCAGGTCATGATCTCAGGGTCCTGGGATCAAGCCCCGCATTGGGCTCTCTGCTCAGCAGGAAGCCTGCTTCCTCCTCTCTCTCTGCCTGCCTCTCTGCCTACTTGTGATTTCTGTTTGTCAAATAAATAAATAAAATCTTTAAAAAAAAAAAAGAATACTATGAAAAAAAACAAATAAAAAGATACTAAGAATAACTGTATGCCAACAAATTAGATAAACACAAAAACTAAAAACACACAAACTACCAAAACTGCATCAATACAAAATATAAAATATGAATAGACACGTAGCAAGTAGAGCTTGAATCAGTAATCAAAAACCTCCCAATAAAGAAAAGCCCAGACTATATGGATTCACTGGTGAATTCTATCAAACAGTTAAAAAATCAACACCAATCCTTCTCAAGTTCTTCCAAAGAAGAGGAGGGAACACATTATATGGCCAGCATTACTCTGATACCAAATCCAGATAGCTATCACAAGAAAACTACAGATCAAAATCCCTTATGAGTACAGATGCAAATATCCTCAACAAAATAACAGCAAACCAAATCAAGCAGCATATTTAAAGGATTATACCATGACCAAGTGGGATTTATCTCAGGAATGTATGTATGGTTCAACATACAAAAGTCAATCAATGTAATACGCCACCTTAATAGAACGAAGAAAAAAAAAATCTAAATTAATGCAGAGAAAGCATTTAACAAAATCCAATACCCCTGCATGATAAAAAAAAAAAAACAAAAAAAAACAAAAAAAAAACACCACCACCAAATAAAGGAATAGAAGGAAAATTCCTGAACATGATAAAGGGCATTCATGAAAATCCACAGCTAATATATTGAATGGTGAAAGACTGAAAGCTTTCCCCCTCAGATCAAAAACAAGAAAGAGAAAGATACCCACTTTTATAATGTCTATTTGACATTGTACTTGAAATTCTAGCCAGAGCAATTAGGCAAGAAAAAGAAACAAAAGACATCCAGGTTGGAAAGGAAGAAGTAAAATCTCTATGTGCAGATGACATGATCTTATATACAGACAATGCTAAAGAATACACACACACACACACAGAGCTAATAAATGAGTTCAGCGAGGTTTCAGAATCCAAGATCAACTTATAAAAATCGGTTGTACTTATGCACACTGGCAATGAACAATCCAAAATGGAACTGAAAAAATAATTCCATTTATGATAGCATCAAAGAGAATAAAATATTTAGGAATAAAGTTAACCAAGGAACTCTAAAATTTGTACACTGAAAACATTGCTAAAGAAATTAAAGATGACCTAAATAAATGACAAGACATCCCATGTTTACAGACTAGAAGACTTCATACGAAGATGGCAATATGCTCCCCATCACAATCCCAACAGCCTTTTTGCACAAATGGAAAAGCTGATCTTAAAATTAATACGGAATTGCAAGGGATCCTGAATAACCCAAAAAATCTTGAAAAAGGAGAATAAAGTTAAAGTACTCACACAACCCAATTTTAAAATTTAGTACAAAGACAAAGTAATCAAAACAATGTGGCACTGGCATAAAGTTAAGATAAATGGAATATTAAGAGTCTAGAAATAAACCCATACATCCATAGTCAGCTGATTTCCAATGACAGTGCCGAGACTATTCAATAGGGAAAGAACAGTCTCTGCAACTAATCACAGTGGGACAAATGGATATTCACATGCAAAAGATGAAGGTGGACCCTTGTTTCATACTATATAGGAAAATTAACTCAAAATGGATCAAAGACCATTTAGCTCCAAATGTAAGCACTTAAACTATAAAGCTCTTAGCAGAAAGCATAGGGATTATGACCTTGGATTAGGCAATGGTTCCCTTAGATGTGACACCAAAAGCATAAGCAACAAAAGAAAAAATAGATAAACTGCACGTCATCAAAATGAAAAACTTTTGCTCATGAGAGAACACTATCAAGATATAAAAAGACATATCGCTTCTTGGCCTTTTGGCTAAGATCATATGTAGTATCTGTTCTTATCAGTTTAATATCTGATAAGTCCTCTATCCAAGGACAATATATTAAATGGATTTTTGGAGCCAAGAGATGGAATAGGAGCTTGCTGGGTCTACTCCACGCAACAACCTGGTATTGCAGTACTTCAGGAATGGTGCATCCCCACCAAATTGGAAAAAAAAAAAAAAGAAAAAGAGAGATAAAAAGACAAACCAGAGAATAGGAAAAAGAATTTGGAAATCAAATATCTGATAAGGGTCTAGTATCTAGAATATATAAAGAACTCTTCTAACTCAACAACAAGAAGTGAAGCAACCCAATTCAAAAAGAGGCAAAGGCGGGGGGGGGGGGGGGGGGGGGGGTGGCTCAGCTGCTTAAGCATCCAACTCTTTTTTTTTTTTTTTAGATGAGTACTTTATTTTTATTTTTTATAAACATATATTTTTCCCCCAGGGGTACAAGTCTGTGAATCGCCAGGTTTACACACTTCACCGCACTCACCATAGCACATACCCTCCCCAATGTCCATAATAAACCCCCCCAACCCCCTCCCCCCAGCAACCCTCAGTTTGTTTTGTGAGATTAAGAGTCACTTATGGTTTATCTCCCTCCCAATCCCATCTTGCTTCATTTACTCTTGATCTCGGTTCACTCAGGTTTTGATCTCAGGATCATGAGTTCAAACCCACATTGGGATCCACACTGGGTATGGAGCCAACTTAAAAAAAAAAAAAAAAGGCAAAGGCCTTGAACAGACATTTCTCTAAATAAGATATGCAAAGGACCAAGAAGTACATGAAAAGATGCTCGGTGTCATTAGTCATCAGGGAAATGAACATCAAAACCACAGTAAGATACCACTTCACACCCACTAGTCAAGCTATAATCTAAAAAACAGAAAATAACAAATGTCCGTGAGGATGTGGAGAAAATGGAACTCTCCTACATTGTTGGTGGGAATGTAGGATTGTGCAGTCACTACAGAATATCCTTTGGCAGCCCTTTAATAAGTTAAACATAGAATTACCATAAGACCTAGCAATTCCATTCCTAGGCATAGACCCAAAAGAATTGAAAACAGTTCAAACAAAAACACATACGTGCATCTTCAGAGCAGCACTATTCACAATAGCCAAAAGGTGGAAACAACCACCAACCGATCAACTGAAGAATGGATAAACAAAACATGGCCCTCCATGAGAGTAACGAGGTACTGATACATGCTACAACACAGATGAACCTTGCAAACATTCTGTTAAGTGAAAAAAGCCAGACACAAAAGACTACATATTGTAGGAGTACATTTGTAAGAAATATCCAGAATAGGCAAATCGAAAGAGACAGAAAGGAGATGAGCAGTTTACTACGAGCTGGGGTAAGGAACCATAGGGAGTGACTGCTTAATGGAAATGGGGTTGACTTTAGGATGATGAAAATGTTCTGGAACTAGACAGTGGTGTGGGTTGTACAACACAGAGACTGTACTAAACGCCAGTGAAGTGTACACTCTAAAATGCTTAAAAGGGCACATTTTGTTCTGTGTCTGTTACCACGAAAAATAACAGTAACACAGGCACACAATTCTGAAGAAAAAGTTCAAAGAAGGAAAGCAATTTCAGATGCAGAAAATTTAAGAAATTCCAAATAATCCCAAAGTATATAAAAAAAAAAAAAATCACGAGATTTGTTTTTTTTCTCATGACCTAGGCCCTTTTCCTATTTACATATGATACCAACTTCTTTAAGACGAGGTTACCAGGGCCAGGCCCAGCCCTGCCCGCCATTGGGGAGGCCATACCTACCTCCAATTACTCGAATATTGTTGTCCTTTGTCAAAATAGCCTCAGCGTGGAACACCAAAACTGGAATTCTCCTGCAGCCTCCGGTCCACATGATACACGGATGATCCCTACAGCCATAACGAAAGGCTTTTATTAAGTGACAGCTCAAAATCTGAATTAATGACTGAAGCAAATCACCATGGTTTGCCGCTTAACAACTTTCCCTCCTCTTGGAACAAGAATCCCAAATGTCCTATGGGAAACCATTCAGCTCCCATTCTTAGCCATGGGGTCTAGTTATGATTAACTCCATCCTTGCTCCGGGGATGGCCTTCGATTGGCCTCAGCCGATCAGGGCCTTCCACCCCTCAGTTCTAGTTAGTGGATCCGGAATGAGCACATAAACCAAATGCAGCCAGTGAGTGCCAGAAGGTACACTGTGAGACCCTCTGATAAAGAGATCTTTTTTCTCTTCTGTAGCAGTGACAGGAGAGATGGCCTCTTCCCCTGGATGGTATAAGAGAATGAGGTATGTAAGTGCAATTGTCATCTTATGACCTTGAGAGGAAAGCCTGGAGCTACAGGTAAAGGAGGAAGTCACTGGGAACCCCACTGGAAGAATGAGAAAAATGAGATCCTGAGAGGCAAATGTGGCATTACAGAATCAAGTCTTTCCTAAATATGAGTTAATAAATTCCCTTTTATGGGAGACCGTGGGAAAAAAAATCTTTAAAATGAAATTTTTAAATTCCTTTTATTATTTAGGACAATTTTTATTTTAATCCCTAGCATATATAAAGAATTCTAATATGTAGCATCTACAATAATTTATATACCTTTTTATGCCCTATAGTCCCTTTTTAGGACAATTTGATAACCCATCCTATGATTCTGAGCTAGGAACCCAAAATTAATACAAGCGCTCCAATTAAAACCACATTATTTTAAAGCAGGCCTATACTAAATAGAACAATATTTTTCCAGAAAATACTCTCCAGAAAAGGACCTCCGACTTTATGCTCTTACTGTAGCCTCAGGAAATCTGTTTAATCAATCTTAGATAGGTATTTACTCACAGATTGGGAAAATCTTCAACCTCCTTAGTGCTAGGGAGCCAGAAGGGAAAGAAATGACCTGAGCCACTACTGTGCGCCAGGAATTAAAGTAAGAGCTTTCACATGTTGTCTTACTTAATCCTCTTGTCCACACTATGAACTGAAAAAAAAGGTGTCTCGGGGAGGATAAGTGATTTGCTCAGGATCAGAGAGCTGGATAAGTAAGGGAACAGATATCTGAACCCAAGTGCCTGACTGCGCTCTAACACCCTCCCATCTCCCTGATCACATTTAAGTGATGTTTTATACACACAACACCTCAAAACCTACCCTTTTGGGAACGTACACTAATCAGTTCCTTAAGGCAGAATAAGATCCACTTAGCCAAAATTTGGGCTGCTCTCAAACACTCACATGACCACATCCTTTAAAAAAGGTCATACTACAAATCTCAGGGTCAAGTCAGACCTTCCCAACCCAAGTTTAAAAAGTTCCCCATTTTGAATGCACAGGCTGCCAGGCTACCTACCAGTCTGAGAAGTGAGGCGGCCTTGGGACTTGGGATGAGCTGCCAAAGTGTTTTAGTGAGGAAAAGCAAAGAACACCATACCTAGTTCACTGCCTGTTTTCTCTGTTCCTGCTTTTTGACTTGAGTAATAGCGCCCATTTGTGAGAAAAGGTATTTATCACAGGCACTTTTTTTAGAAAGAAGGATTTTTTTTTCATGGTTTGCTTGCTTTTTAATCTTAAACACCTGTAAAATGTGGGCAGGGGGCCAGATGATTCCTAGGATCTCTTCCAACTATAATTTTTCCGCTCTATTTCTAAGTCAGAGGATAGAGAAAAAATAGGCAGCCTAAACTGCAAAGTCTTGGACAGAAACTCTGGAAATTATCCAAAGTTCCTGTCAATCTAGCATTAGCTACAAACTGGCACCACTGTGCCCTCCCATTTACAAACAATGGATTACTGCTTCAAGTTAAAACGCCTGACAAGGGTCAGGAACACAATAAACAGATATACGGCTGAGAGGAGCCAAGGCCCCAGCTATGCTATTTGTGGAAAGCCAAATCCCTGTCAGAGAAATCCTTGCACTTGCAACCTATGAAAAGATAAAAGATGTGGTAGACACATTATGAATTCAGTACAGTCAACCAAAACACACTCTGAGCAGATGCTGTTATCCTTAAAAGCACGCTCCCACCAGGTGGTGCTAAAGGCAAAAGATTCAAAATGGTGAGGAAACTGAAAATTGGGACTTCCAATTTTCGTTCACACCAGAAACTGGTATATATTAAGAAAATATGCTCGTACAGGCATGAATGAACACCAAACTTGGATGCTTAATTACCAAAGTAGAACAGTTGTAAGGTTCACTTTATTGAATGCTTAACATTTTGGTTCTTAAGAAGGAATTTCATGAGGCATATATATTATTCACTCCTGGGGCCTAGCCTACATTACTCGAAGCTTCGAGGCCTAATTCATACCAATGCCCTCACTGGAAATGCCTTCCCTGCTTCTGTCCATCTGATCCCACATTTACGCCCAAGACATCTCACTATCCATGTGGGGCCTTCCCCCAGCTCCTCCAGCCCACAGTGATGATGCCTTCTGTCTCTGAACTCCTGTAGTGTTCACTGTATACTTTGTATACAAATATACTTTGTATATTTGTTGAAGATATTTTTATCCCCCATGTATATGTTCATGAACTACTATTAAAGCTGGCTTTTATGATAGGAATTGAAATTATTTTTTTAGTGCCCGAAGAAACCTTATATCACATCCTTCCACATCTATATATAAATTTGTATTTGGGATCTGTTAGCTAAATATAGAAAAAGGGCCCCTTTAAACTTAGTATTTGAAATAATGTCGTGCAAAACAAGGATTTCCTGGACAGATCCTAGCCCTAAAGTCCATTAACACTTTAACATAGCCTTGGGATCTGAGGAGATCTAGCAGATGCCCACGGATAGACATCTTTGGATCACATCAACACCCTTAGATGATTTAAGGACTTATAACTTCTGAAACTTTAAAAATGTAAGCATATTATCCCAAGTGTAAATCACATTAACTTAAGATTCCTAATATATATAATAAGTGTCTGATAGACAAGACATGAGCCAATGGAACGTTAACTGGCAAAAGTCACCAGGAGTCTGAAAGGAAGAGCAAAAAAAAAAAAATCCATGAATTTGGAAGGGGTAGGGAATTACACCTGTAGGTTCACTTACTTGTACTAGAAATTTAGCCATTTCTCAATTATGAATATAGGCCACAAAGCATTATTTGTGTCTTTGAGTCTATCTGAAATTATACATTTTTTATACCATATTACAGCTGTTGCAGATATCTCAAAATATCATTTACATTTACCACTACCTCTAAGTTATGGTAGTTATTACACTTGCCACCAGATCCCCTGTGGTCACGATCTTCCTCATCTGGCATGATGAGGCTGGACAACAATTTGGCAGCTCTCCTCCCAAGCAACCATTCAGCTGCTAAATGGTGACACATCACAGTGGCGGTCCAGACACCTATGATGCTTCCCAATATTCCCCACTTACAACTACCCCCACAGGGTCGGGGCACCTGGATGGCACAGTTGGTTGAGCATCCCACTCCTGGTTTCAGTTTTAAGACACGGTCTCAGGGTGGTGAGCTCAAGCCCTGAGCCAGGCTCTGCACTTAACACAGAAACTGCTTGAGACTCTCTCCCCCACCCCAATTCTAAAATGGATAGATAAATTGGGGAAAAAAAAAAAAAAAAAAAAAAGACTACCCCAACTACCCACAGGGTGATGAGCTTATGCAAACTGAGCAAAACAATCTTAAGGCTGCTGTCTTTACAAAATAAAATCTAACTTTCCCAGGTTTTAAATGAGTAATCTTGTTTAATGCAAAGAGCACATATTACAATATCACAAGTTTGAAGTTTTTTTTAATTTTAATAACTGCATTTCAAGGTAATTGGTACTACTTGCAATGATGTGTATTTTATGTTAAGCACCTAAAAATATTATTCTGATAAGGACTACATGACACCAAAAACCTTTAGAACCCCATGCTCTAGGATGATCTAAAGCAGAAAGTCTCCATTTATTCATTCAGTCGGTGGGTTACTCAGTTGAACTATTTACCGAGTACACACTGCAATATTAGGTTGAAAATCTGACACTGTCGTCTGGAATTGTCAATATTTGACTATTTTTAACCTACCAAAACACCAGTTTCATGGAGTTCAACCTAATACTCATCAGACCCAACTCATTAGCCCACTAATAAAAGAAACAGCCATGAAGTAAAAGAATGATCTTGAAATTAGACTGATGCTTGTAGAAGTTAAAAATTTTGTGAAATAGGTAAGACGCAGCACACAGAAAGCAAAAAGTCACAAGAAGATAAAGCGACCACAGGGAATTATCTATTTAATTATCCTGAATAAGAATGACCCAAATATAATGCTAAATCTCTTTTATTTTCTATGACCTCACAGTGATGAGAAACCTTTCCTAAAGCTTTATGAATGCTTCAATAATTTCTTCTAGTTACATTAAATGTTATCTTCTACTTTATAGAAAGAAATGCACTTTAAATTCAAAATTAAAGCCAGTAGGAATAATCCCTTAACATTTGTATGGCACATCTTCATTTAAAAAGTCATTTCATACATATCATTCTATCTGATCCTAACCATACTCCTACAAAACAGCCTGAGAGATATTACCCCGACTTTTCAAGTTACATAGCACACACATATCCAAGAGGACTCACAGAGAAACTGAAAAACTAATCTTAAACTTAAGTCAGACTCTCTCTTTTTCCTCTGTGTCAAGGAATAATGCTAACAGAGGCAAAAGAGTAAAGTGCCTCAAAATCCACGAAAACTGGGTCTGATTCTCAATTCATCACACACTCTGCATCCTTGAAAAAGTTCTTTGATCTTTAAGGCTGAGTTTACTAAAGTGGAAATAATAACATCTTCAGATTAAATGAGACACATCAGTTAAGGCCCTCACCATCATCTATGCCAAATGATAAGCTACACTTATTCCCATCATTCATTTTTATTGTTACAAGAAGCCAGCAGTCAAGAAACCTGACTCTTTCCTAACAACTCGGGAAAGCAATGTGGTTCAACGGCACAGCAGAGGTTACAGAATTCTAATGTACTGTCCCACAGTTCCTCTGATAAGTTACTTGACCTCTCTATAGACTATCATTCTATCATTGTAAAGGTTTCTGAGAAAATAACGTAACCTGTCTCACAGGGTTTGGAGACCTCCTTTGCCTTCATATCTACAAAATTTAAATCTCCTACGTTAGGAGCTCCAATCAAGAGTTCGCGAAGAGCAGTACCTAGGGCCAATGTTCATTCATGAGCCCAGAAACAGAGCCTTCTCTCATTTCAGATAACTAATGGAGACCAACTCATAAAATCCTGGATTAGACTGTGGATAGAAACTAAAACCAGAGTCTGACTACACCAAAGGAAGGAGACCGCGTGAAAGAAGGTATAAGTAAAAGAGAATTATTTTCTACCCTAAAGGCAAAGGGTCAAACGCAGGCTCGCTCTTACTTACTCTTGGCTTACCACCTCCTCATCCTCTGAGGATGATGCTGTTTCCTCCAGGTCCCGGGCCATCACGACTGGCATTTCCTTTAGGGTTTGTCATGCAGTCAGCAGATGGGGGCCTCAGAGACCTTTTCTTGCAGATTCACCGGATCAAACAATTTAGGTGGCACTGATTCCTGCAAGAAAGCCAAATGATTTGAAAAACAATGGCATTTTCTATTTGATTATTGCTATTGATCTTCCAAGTAATAAATACGAATGTTTACCTAAATGGCGTCCATTTAGGTAAGAAGCTTACCTTCTATCACAATGCCTCACTTATGCCACAAAAATCAAGATTGTTTCAAACATACTGTCTGTCCTCTATGTATTTAAAGAGCTTTTGTTAAGTTTGAGAGCTGTTATTAAGTTTCTCATTTTTCTTTTATATACTAAACGTAACAAGAATTAGCTCCTAGGAAAGTCTGAGATAGGTGGCTGACTGACTAAAACATAGACTCCTTGCTAGAAAAGCTTGACTTGGGTTAAAAATAAAAACTCAAGATTTACTACCCTTGAATATTTCTTTAGACACTAGGACAAGCACACAGCTGAAATGCCTTCATATTTCACTAAAATAAATTCAACCACTAAACTAAAAGATTAATATATTCTCCTCAATCAAAGTGATTAAGTAGCTGGGGAAAAAAACAAAAAACAAACAAAAACTCGTCCTTCCACTCTCAAAAATTATTCTCCCTTACTAAAAATCACAAACTCTGATTTGAATCTCAAATAGACATTAGAATAGGATATTTCTAACTTAAAATATTTTTGCATATGTAAAAAGTACAAGTGTGTTGTGTGTTTAAGGATGAAATCGAAGTTACAGATAAAGAAAATGAACAAGTTTAAATGACCATAATCCTGTTACTCAGAGATAACGATCTGATGTCTATCTCTGCAAATCTTATTTTGTTATACATTCAAAATATGGTAAGACCGTAATCGGGACCAAAAAACCGCCGATCCCGATGACGATCCCTACAGATCTTCAGCGGAATGGGCAGTATCTAATAACTTCAAACGCGTTCTTCCGAGGACTCCCGACGGGATTTCTAGATCTTTCCCAAAATGTTGGAAAGTCCTTTAAATTAAAACAAAACAAGCAAAACCTCCAAGCGAGGAAGAGATGACAAACCTGTCCCAGGCTGCCAGCAGAGTAGAGACACGGAGATCGGAAGAAGATTAAGGACACTCGCCCAAGAATCGTCTTCGTCCTAAAGGATCAGCCCCTCGGCCCCACCCCCGGCTCACCCCAATCCCGGGTAGATCCTCAGATGCTCCCCAAGGGAAGGACAGGGATGACTCCACCGCAGCGATTCAGCCCAGTGCGCCCGGAAGCCAACAGCTACTCCCGGGCTCCGAGAGGGAAGTGTAGCCGCCGGCGCCCGCCCAGGCTCGGGAGCTCACCTCCCTCGCGTAGGGGAGCGCGCAGGCGCAGGCGTTTACCTGTCTCATCTTCCCATGGCTCCGGGAGGGCCGGCGGGGACCGCGCTCTGCGCCTACCACCCTCCTCCTTCCCCAGCCCGGCTCACTGCAGCCGCCGACGGCTGCTTCCCCCGTTACTACAACAACCAACAAGCAACCGCCCGCTCGGAGCCACTGCGCAGGCGCCCGCCTCCCCGCGCTGACAACGCTCGGCTTCGGGCGCGAAGGAATGTCGTCACCGCCGCGCTGCGCGGGCGCAGAGCTTTGCTCTCGGTAGAAGTCTAGACTTCTTTTTTTCTGCTCTCTTTCCCTCCACTCCTAATGGGTAGACTCCAGCCCCGGAGTTCTTCCGCCACGCTCAGCAGGAGGGTTCGCTGCGTGAGCGGCGGTACCTGGGTGAAGCTTGGGCAGCGGCAACCACTGATTGGCAGTAAAGGGATTCACGCCCCATCTCCTGCTCGAGCAAAACCGGAGCAGCCAATCAGAGCGAGGACTGACGGAAACAACCCAATCCTGGAGCCGGGCTGTGGGCGGGGGCGAGGACAAATGGCTCAGGTGGACTCCTCGCTAGATGTGCTTCAGGGCTTTGCTGCTGCTGTTCTCACTGCTGCTGCTGCCGCTGCTCCTGCTGGTGCTGCCGCTGCTGTGCTGGGGGTCCGGTCACCAGGTACCGAGAGTGTTGGGAGAAGAGGGAGGGAGGCGTTTTTGCGGCATCTAATTGAGCGCATAGGGAGAGTCTGGAAAAATGGAGGTGAGATGGATGGAAGATCGCTGATAGCAACCTTTTTGGGGGGACCAAGGAGTTCAAGAGACCTTGACAAGGGGGAGCTGGGACTATGAAGATGAAGAAGGCTTGGTAGGTTCGGGGAACCAAAGAATGAATGAACGAATGACCAGCCACTCGGAGCCTAGCGCAGGGCAAGCAAGGAACCTTTCCACTTTCTCTTGTAATTCCCACAGTAACCCTTGTGATAGGTATTTTTAAAGCTCCGTTTTGCAGATTTCTCACCTAGGGTCGTACAGCTACAAAATGATTGTGGAACGATGGGAACCTCCTCCTGACTAGTTTTAACACCACATCTTTGCTGGACCAGGCCAGGACAAAATTTGAGAACAGATGTTAGATACTTTAGGAGGCCCTAAAGCTTTAGGGAAATGGGGTTGAGGGATTTGGTAGAGCAGTTCCGAAGAGTGCTCTGGCTTTGCCCTCATCAGCTATCTGTTGGGATTTCTAAGAGCTTCCGTGAAATGGGCGTAAGTTCTCTCAAAGAGGGGAGCCATCCACATGGCTTTTCTGACCCTGGGAGGACAAAGCCTGAGTCACCTGTTGAGAAATGGGGAAAAATAAGGAGGATCAGGGGATCTTGGCCCATGCCCTGACCGCTTCTGATTGCCAGTAAAACTCTATTCTCCCTGGACTTCAATAACATCCATTGCTGCAATCTACCATTCCCTGAGGGATTTTGCTTCCTCCTCTAGAGCTCTTTTTTGTTTGTTCTTTCTTTTTAGTGCTTCACATTGTCTTAGGTCATGGCTGACTTTCACATTTATTTCAGCTGGGTAGCATAAGACCATACTGAAACTTCTTTCAGAGTGTCAAAGGAAGCCTGATGGTTTATCACCACTTCAGGCCCAAGAAGTCAACCTGACAACAGATAAACTTTGGAAAAAACAAAAGACAGCCAAAAAAAGAAACAAACAAACAAACAAACAAACAAAAACCTCAAAACCCAAAAAACACAGACTACAACACTACAGTGAAGATGAGAAGAAGTAGTTGTATTATTGGATTCTTTATCTACATGAGTTTTATTTAAATCAAGTTGATTAAGGGGCCCCTGAATGGCTCAGTTGGTTAAATGCCTGCCTTTGGCTCAGGTCATGATCTCAGAGTCCTGGGATTGAGCCCCACATCGGGCTCTCTGCTCGGTGGGGAACCTGCTTCTCCCTCTCCCTCTCAAATGAATAAGTAAAATCTTTTAAAAAATAAATCAAGTTGATTGAAATCATTGCTCTTCAAGGGTTTATCTAAGCTTTTTTTATTAAACAAAAAGTAAATAATGTAATTATATTTTGTATACAACTTCAAGACAGAAGTGGATACAGTGTGCTTGCCTTCCTTAAAAATAGAAACTTCATCAAAATATTCTCAGGCAGTATTGCAGAGCAGGATTCTTAGCTCTGCCATGTTGTTAGCTGTGTAACCTCAAGCAAATCACTTATTTCTCTGTGCCAGCCCTCATCTGTGAAATGGAAATAGTGATAGTGCCTATCCACCTTGTTTAGAGATTAAATGAGATACTTTATGTTAGGTGCTTGCACAGTGCGTGACACATACAAGTGCCCACTACCTGTTAGCTATCTTAATTTCTCTTGCAACGCAACACCAACATTGTTGGTCCTCCTCCACATAATTTTCATGCTAGTTCTCAAGTCACAGCAGTTCATTTAACTTTTATATCATTCTAGCTTATGGAGCACGAATTACCTGAGAACCAGAGTAGAGAATACCCAAGAGTGTACATATTGCCTTCACTCCATAGATACCACTCAAATGTGTGTGGCTTTTGTGAGCTTCGAAGGTTCTGTCATCAATAGCCAGGCAGGTATCTGTTGGTAGATCTAAGTGAGCCACTTGGATTACAAGGGAATTACATAAAACAAACAAACAAACAAACAAAAAAACTGGGCTAGAAGTAAAGATATTAAAAGACTGATTCCAGCCAAGAGAAAAGGGTTCTGATTTAGGCTAACACTGTGGAGAAGTTGCTTAGACAAAAGTAAGTACTGTGCCATTTACTGCAAAGTATCCTGTTCATTCACCACGAGCAGTGAGAGTAAATAAATAACAAGACCGGTTTCTATGACTCTTACACAGAAGGCCATTTTATTACCTGATAGTCATATCTGTACACCTTCTCTTTGTTCCCTTTTTTCTCCGTTATTTTTGCTTGGCTTACCATTTCTAGGCCCTGCATTTAGCCTTTGTCACTCTTGGTAAAGGTTAGCACCCTTGGGTTTAGGGTAGATGTCCAGGCAGCTTGCGAACCTTGTGAAGTAAGAATAGTACAGGAAGATAACAGGGTGTGGGCAACTTCAGGGACTGGGAAAGGAACTAACGAAGTGATTCCCAAGATAAGCTTCGTGTAGCCTCCGGGAGTGGGGCACAAGTTAACTACCCAAGCCAGGGAGCTTATGGTTGAGTAAGCTAACTGCTGTCTCCTGTTTTTTTGCCTTTGTTCCCAAGGCAAAAAGCCCTGTAGGGTTGGAGGGAAGTCATGAGCCGTTTCTTGAACGTGTTACGAAGCTGGCTGGTTATGGTGTCCATCATAGCTGTAGGAAACACCCTGCAAAGTTTCCGAGACCACACCTTTCTCTATGAAAAGCTCTACACAGGCAAGCCGGATCTCGGTAAGAAATTGGAGAATGGAATTCTTCATGGGAGTGGTCCCAAACTGTGGTTTCCAGGCTGGTCTGTGCCTAAGAACAAGCTAGGACGTTCAAAAACAAACACACACACAGCACAGGTGTCCATTTTCTTGTCTAGACTTAGCTCCTGAAACTTCCACCCCGAGTCGGGCCCTAATTTTTCATAACTTCCCAGGTGATTCCGATGCTGGCTAATCTAACCTTTGGTGGCCATTAGAATAATGGCCTTCGTGGATAGCACTTGGCCCTTTTTCCTCCCAAGCTTGTCTGAATATCTTTTCATCTATTTTATACTGTCCTTTGCATATTACAGGCAATACAAAAAGTATTACAAGGGCAGTGAGAAGAGAGTTATTTGGTGACACTGGGGTGCCCCACTAGAAAGCTATAAAAAACCTTTTCATATTATTTCATTCCTCTTCAGAAGCTAGGTTGTGCCACATATAGTTTATTCTGTGTTCCAGATGGGGAGTTACTGACCTAAGGACTTCTTAAACTGTGAAGAGGCCCCAAGAAGCTATCCAAAATTCCACTGAGCTGGTCTCCCAGAGTGGAACTTAGAAGGCCTCTGGTGGCCTTTCCCAGTTTCTTGAACCTCCCTGCTGAGCGTATTTTCACATTTCAGCTTGTGCTTCCTTGCACTGATGTGTGGGATAATGGTGTTTGAGCTGCAGCACCATTTCACGCAGCTGACAACTCTGTGTCACATTTATAGCTAACCCAGATTCGGGCTGTGACCTAGCTCATGTTTCTGCAAGATCTCCATACAGAATAGATCAAAGTAGGCTAAGCCTCCCTTTGAACAAAGCTCAATTGGAGTAAAGTACCTGGGAACGTAGGTAGGACATTTCCACCGTGTCCCCCTCAAATGCTGCTCTCTGATGTCCAGGAACCCTTTGTAGATCCACAGGATTTTAGGGATTATCCGGTCTAGTCCTTTAAGTTTAAAGTTGACAGAAAAACCCAGGGGTTATGCGATTCACTCAAGGGTGTATAGTCGAGTTGAAGAACTATTGGGAGGTAGGGAGCATGGTGGGCTGGGAGGAGTTGTCTGCCTCCAGCCCAGAAGTAGAGACTGCCACCCCCCCCCCCAATCAGGGGGCTCTCATAATACTCAGCTGATGCAAACAGTGTTCTGGAGCATCCCACAGAATTTTGCCTGATGCCTAACCTGCCTGGGGTTGGTGAAATACTCCACTTTTGTATCTCACTAACTAGACCCAGATTCGGGCTCTGGGTCTAGTTAGAACTCTTTCCTCAGTGTTTTCATCAGAAGAGCTATCAAATTGGTTTATAAAGAATGTAGCCTTCCAGGGCCAACCACTAGATATTTGGTTGGCATGTGGAATTTTTTTTCTCACCTTACTACCATCTGAAGGTCTTCAGTGTTGTAGGAATTGGTATCACTGTGTGGTTTTCCAAAGGATGGAAAATCCTGAAGGCCCAAGTAAACATTAATAAACCTTTCAGGGTGCCTGAGTGGCTCAGTCAGTTAAGCATCTGCCTTCAGCCCAGGTCACGATCCCAGGGACCTGGGATGGAGTCCCACATCAGGCTCAGAGCCTGCTTCTCCCTCTGCCCCTCCCCCCACTTGTACATGCACGCACTCTCTCAAAAATAAATAAATGTGTTTAAAAAAAAAAAGAAAAGAAAAGAAGTAGACCTTTGGTTATCAGTCTTGTCCCTTGAAATTTCTCTTGCTCAATAGACCAGCAAAGGAAGTATCTTTACTTTCATGGCATCCCCTGCCACAGAATATATTAGATAAAGAATTCTACAGTCACCCAGAAAGAAAGTCTTTTTAGAAAATACTTACTCCCAGGGCCTACCTCCAAAGAGTATGATTTAATTGGTCTGCTACCCAGGTCTTGGTAATTTCATAAAACTTCTTTAGTTGACTCTCAGAAACGCCCAGAGTTAAGAACCTGCTGTGGTAGACTGTGATCCCTACTTTCAGGACAAGATATTTCATACAGCAATACCAGAATAAAGTCACCCAGAGTAGGGTGGCCTCAGCAAACACCAAGGAAGCAGCACTTTGTTCCAGTACCAAGTGCACAGGAAACCTGCCCAGTGTGGGCTTTGTTCAAATAATATAGATCTGGCTTCAGGAGAAGACTTAGGTCTCTTCAAGGCCAGATTGAGCATCTAAATATGTTGCAGGATTTCTGAGCTCCCTCTTGCATCAGCCTTGAAGGCTTACTGACCTCCTAGGCATCTTGTCCTGATGCCCCACTGTGTGCAACATTCCCTCAGACCTATCCTGATCCAGTCGGGCTGGACGTCACCTGCACCAGAGTGGTTTTCAGGACAGAGGTGGAAACTGCTACAGTCAGGAGTTACAGCCTAAGTGTGGGCTCTTTGTTGGGTTCTTACTCTTGGAATGCCCCCGCCCAACTGTAGACATCTGAAGAGGAGCTGCACAGTTCTCACTGTGGAATTCCTTCCATTCCTTCTCGTTACCATGTGCAGCCCCAGAGCCTCCCCTCTGTCCGGCTGAAGGGAGTTCAGGCTCAGCAGCCTGCCTCCCATGAATCACCAGTTAAGTAAGAGGAGTTTGGAGGGAACCCTGACACTCCCCTCTCGACACTCTTGGTTTTCTCTGCTCTACAGTGAATGGCCTCCAGGCTCGGACTTTTGGGATCTGGACACTGCTGTCATCAGTGATTCGCTGCCTCTGTGCCATCGACATCCACAACAAGACGTACGTAAGGGAAGGAAGAGTTTTAGCATCCTGTCGTTGGAAATCAGGTGCTAGGCATACCCAGTGTGGGCCTCCCCTTGGAGACCTGTTAATTTTCATACATTAGCCGAGAAAGTGGATAATGAAAAGTTAATGGTTCTATTCTTTCCAGGCCTTAAAAAAAAAAAAAAAGAAACCATAATAGACCTCACAGGTCTTTACAGTTTGAAAATTCTTTGGAAGTGGACAGCAACAGGCCGTGTCATGATCCAGTGGCCTGCATCACACCCCTCTACTTCTTCGCTAAAGAATCAGCCTTTCTTCTACTAAAGAAGGAGAGTAGTGCACTCTTTTTAGAACAGCCACCCACATAGACCTTATTCTCACATTCCTCCTTAAGAAATAGGAATGAACAGAAACTCCAGTCCCCGAAAAAAGGAACCCACGAGGAGACTGCTGCATGCTTGTGCCCCGTCCATAGGTGAGGGTGAAAGTGAACCCAGGATTCCTATATTCTGCCTCTCTAGGGTACTCAGACCAGGCTGAAACATTTTGCAGACAACCACAGCCTCTCGTCTGAATCACGCTATAACCGGTGCTGACCACTGGAGGGGGCTTGAACTTCCTTTCCAACCATCCTCACCACAGTCAAAAGGGGGAAGTTTGCTCAGATCCCTGGCCGAGGCCACCAAAATGTCAACTTCACACCAAAATATTTTTTTGCCATATCTAAGTTCTCAGCATTTGGGAAAAGAGGGTAATGATATTTACTGAGCACTCCTGATGATGCCTGGAGCTTTCACCTGCATAACCTTGATTAAGTCTCCCAGCAGCCCTGGGGGGTAATGATTTTCATTCCTGAGTCTGCAGATCTACATGTTAGAGATGCAATTAATTTGAACTAAGGAAGACTGACTCAAGTGGGATTTGAAGCAGGGCTGTTAATTCTCTGATCTCTCCAAGTTTTTTAAATTTTTTTTGAACTTGAAACTATGGTTTGACTCATTCTAGACTGACATGTGTTTTGGGAAGCATTATGGTTCCCAGTGAAAGTAGCAGTGGAAACAGCCTGGGGCCCAGGCATGAAAACAAGAAAATGGGCCCTTGTCTCCATTGTGTTAGTAACTCCTTTTGGAGCTGTAAAAGTTCATTACAGCGAAAATCCACTGTATAGATTTGACTCCCCCCAAACTTAGCTACTAACAGCCTGCTACCCACCAGAAGCCTTACTGATAAGAAAGTTGATTAAGACATATTTTGTGTGTCTTATGTGTTAGGTACTGTATCCTTAAAATCAAGTAAGCTAGAGCAAAGGAAATGTTACTCAGAAAATCATAAGGAACAGAAAATGCATTTACCGTACTGTACTACGATGTGTTTTTTTAAAAATCCACATATAAGTGGACCCATGTTGTTCAGGGGATCAGCTGTTGACCTCTGCCTCTTGGTCTCTTTATGTATACAATGAGACTAGTAGATCTGAGGGCAGGGTGACTAGGAGGGCGAAAGAATTAAATAATCCCATTCATTTCCCCTTGTCCTGACACAGGATAGCCATCAATGCGGACTTCTGTTTCTAGCCTTTTGTAACCTGGGACTTTAGTACATGCTCTTTCTGATAATACATTCTGATTCTATTTCCTCCCTAAACAGAAATTCAAAATCAACACCCATATACACATATTTACTAAATGTATAAAAACATGCACAGGAATGATAAAATTGAAATTTAACATATCCGTTCCTTCTGGGGAGGGGAAGGCAGGGGAATGGGGTCTGGGTGGGATAAGGATACACAGAATGCTTTAACTGATATCTGTGACATTTCATTTCTTAGAAAAAAGTATCTGGAGCAAAAATGCCAAAACATCCTGATTGGATGGAGCTGGGTACTGGTTGCAAATGGGTTAATTATCGTATTCTGTCATCAACGCTTTTTTGTACCTTTGCAATATTTCATAATCTTAAAAATGTCATTGTCAAAAAAAAAGAGATCTCCAATCGAAGTGGTCAGTCATCCTATAGCCTTTCTCCCCTCCACCTCTTTGTCAAAACTGAGAAACACATTCTCTTCCCATGAGTTATCACTGTGTCCTCCACCTGATCATGTTCCCAGGCTAAGACCCAAAATAACAACAGCCCGCATGGCAAGAGCATCTAAAAGCCCCAGAGAGGTCCTCACGGCTCATGCTGCACTCAGGCCCTTCATTCTGTGGCGTCCATCCTCTGAGCACTGACCAGCTCCTGGTCCAACACCTACCAAGTAGGCTTGGACTACAGAGCCAAGCCAGTCTGATTAAGTAGAATGTGTAAGCGTGATTGCTCCCCAGCTGTCTCTACTGCTAGGAGTGCCGTAACCCAGACTCTGCGTTGCTCTGGCTGGCTTCACCACCTTGCTGTGACTTAGAAACCCACTCTGGATGCCAGGACCATTCTCCTCTCAGTCTCGCCCTTGAAGCCTTCACTTTTGCCCTAGTAGAGGGTAAATTAGTGTAGTGGAGCAGATGGGTCTTTCTTGGGCCCAAGTCTGGATTGACGTTGGGGGGAGTGGGAATCGGACCATTGCTTGTCCCGTGCACGGAACAAGCAGGCCTCCTGTTCCCATTTCTGTCTGCTCCTTTGTAGGCTGTACCACATCACACTCTGGACCTTCCTCCTCGCCCTGGGGCACTTCCTGTCCGAGTTGTTTGTCTTTGGGACCGCAGCTCCCACGATTGGCGTCTTGGCCCCCCTGATGGTGGCAAGTAAGCACCTGCCCCCCCAGACCTCCTATGGGAACTGTACCCTAGGGCCTGGGGTGGGAGAGCAGACATACAAGAGGATAAGAAAGTGCTGTGCTGATGTCCGCCACCTTTCTTTTCTCTTACTTAAGGTTTCTCAATCCTGGGTATGCTAGTTGGCCTCCGGTACCTAGAAGTCGAACCAGTATCCAGACAGAAGAAGAGAAACTGAGGCCGGCGTTAACCACCTCTGAGACTTCGTCTTCCACCTTGCGTCCCCTTCCTTCATCCTCCATCCTCTTCTTTCTGCTCCATCCTGAGCCCTCTTACCACTCCTAGCCTTTTAGGTTTGGGGTTTTTCTTACACTTCAAAATTTTTAAGCTACAACCTTCACACAGAAAATATAATGTGTACATACAATTGAAAGAATCCTTTTAAATGATTGCATACTCTGTCCCTTCACCCAGATCAAGAGATGTCCAGCACCTCAGAAACCCACTATGTGCCCTTCCCCTACCTACAGTCTCTTCCAGGATCCCTTTTCCAGCCTTCTGCTTTTTCCCTTTATTTTCATCCCTTCCTCTGACTTGTGTGGTGGGAACACGTGAACTATGAAACTTACAGCTGCTGCGCTACCCAGAGCAGCTGCCACCAAGGGCTGCTTCAGGAGGTCGCCCCCCGAGGTTGGGCTCCTCTCTGCTGCTGGCCCCAAGACTCTGAACCATCCGAGGAACAGGCAGTTCTTCTAAGAAGGGCTCCCCTGTGAGTAAGCATGGCTCGTATACTTGTGTCTACAAGTGGATCAGGGTTGGAAGAGTCTGGGCTGTTTTTAGACCTTCTGGTCAGCTCTATTTGTGTAACAAATTTTGTAATAAATAGAAAAATCCTCTGCTTGGATCAGTCCTTGTACTTTGATCTCCCCTAAGCCAGGAGCACTCCTGCCCCTCTCCGAGCCAGAGTGTAGGAGAATCAAAGCTTTTTGCTGATCAAATACACCCTAACTGGTAGGACAGTTCAAGGACCCAGGGACCCACCAACTATTGTCAAGAGGTAGGAAGAAAAGCAGTGATCTTACGGTGTTAGCATGTGAGTGTAGATGACGTGTTGCTCACCTTAGAAAGTGAATGAAAGCATGCATGGTCTGGATTTGGATGCTTTAAGCATACGTCATAGAAACATAATTCCAGATAAGCCAAGACAAGACCCAAAGGATCTGAAGAGATGATTTAGAATAGAATGCATCATGAATTTTATCATTCTTTAACAGCCATCTTGGCTCCCTTTCAAGATGATTTAAAGTAAAATTCGTCGAGTCTCTCTCCAGCTGAGAACTGCTAACAGATAATGGTGCCAGAATGCCACAGGCACCGTGCATTCACTAAGAAACGTACAGAAAACTGAGAGCAGCATGTCCTAGCCACAGCGTAAGGCCCACCCGCCCGGGAAGGGAGAAGTGGCAGTAGGTCGGATAGTTCAGAAGGAAAAATGGTGACACAACTGCAGAGGCCAAAAGCATGGACTCTGGCCAGGGCCAGATGGTGCAGTCGTATAGCAAACACTTCAGCCACACTTTGAGGAAGAGCCAGAAACAACCGCGGGCTCTGAGCGGCGCCCCCGTGTGTGGACCGTTCACATGTGTACACAGCCCAGAAGGCAGGCAGGGTCACGCGCAGGCCGGTGAGGTACAAGGTACCACATAGGCCCACATTCAGTCTTCCAGCCTTGTCTTGAAACAGTAGGCGCCGTGGGGAGGGTCACATCTGTGTGAACAGAGGATCCACCTCTGCAGTGGGCCCTGGGAACTGCTGCTCTAGCCCCAGGCCCCTCCCATCCCGTCCCGTGGGCCCAGGCCCCACAAATGAGCTGGAATCTCGGCTACCACAAGACACCTCTGCTCCATCTAATGACATGGCAGGCCACTTGGAGAATCTTTTATTGTCTTAAAATATCTGGCATTATAAGTAGAAAATACAAATTACGCTTTTAAAGGAATGACCAATCTGGTAAACGTTTTGTTAAAAAGTTTTAAGGAGCTGGAGAGTAAACACATTTCTCCTTATTAAAAAGCAAGACATGCTTCCTCTCCACCTCTCTTCCACCCCCCAACACTCCCCTAGCAGAAGTGTGAATTTCTCTTACAGCACATCTGGAATGTTTGTACACACACACACACACACACACACACGGCTCCCCTCAGGCAGCAGCCCCCCTGCCAACCCAGGCTGCCCCCAGATGCCCAGACCAGGCAGTGGCCACAGCCCAGCAGCACCATGGACATGATCACAGCTGCTCAGCGCAGGAGAAATGATTCAAATGTCTTATTTTGGGGGGACACTACCCCAGCCCATGAGGAGAGCCAGATAGCAGGCTGGGCAGGCGAGGAGGTCTCCCTGGGTTGGTTTAGAGGGAATCCCTTGAGAAAGAAAAAAAAGGGGGAATCCCTCTACATTCACAACATCTATTAAAAGGTGATTGCTGGAAGGGGACGGTGAGAGGGGTTGGATGTGCGAATACGATCCCCTCCAGAGGCAGAAGGCACTTAATTCAAGCCAACTCAATTCCTTTTCCTTCTGCCCCTTTCCTCTCCTCTCTCAGAAGCTGTGGATTTCTCAGGGTGGAATGAAACAAAGTTTTCAGGAAAGATTACAGGAAGGTGGCTGGGGTTTCCCTCCCTTCAGAGAAAGGAAGCACTAAGGCTGATGACAGTTTCTCAAGGCATCAGCGGTGACGACAACACACACACAAAGAAGTCCCTGGGCACAGATCTTGTAGAAAAGAACCATCCTGTCCCCAAATCTAGCTACCACAGTTCCCAAAGGCTGGACTTTCACAAGCGGCCTCACGCTGCTAGGCAGGTCACCCTCCCAGACAGGCTTCTCCTTCACGGCCACAGCAAAGTTTCTGTCAAGTTTATTGATGTTGGGTTTGATCAGCTCTTAGGAGAGGGTCTGGAAACAGACCCCAGCCTTAGGGCAGGAGAAGCTAGGCCGAGTCCTGATGGGTTCATTCTGATGTTTTTCTGATGGTGCTTTCTCTCCCACAGAACATTAGCCACAATGTGATGACCCCAAAATTACCCCCTCTCTGGAGCAGCCGCCTCTCCTTAGAACTGGGCTTCTAAGGGTCTTATGATTCTAAAAAAAAAGTTAATATCCTGAATAAGCTTTCTTTCCGTGATAATTTTGCAGGCCCTCTCCTGGCGGGCTGGAGGGGAAGGGGGAAGACGAGGCACCACGGCTCTCCAGCAGTCTCTCCCAGCACCAGCTCCCACAGCCTGCGAGGGGGGCGGGGATGGAGCGGGCACCCAGTAGAAGGTGCCATCTTCCCCAGCTAGACCATGCAAGCTCTTGAGTGGGTTCCAGATGGCAGAGGTCCTGCCGTCCAAGCCCCCAGTATTCCAGCCGGTTCCCGCCAAAAGCTGCTGCGGCAAAGGCCTATGTGTCGGCGGTAGGTGCTGATGGAAGAGGTGGGGAGTGCTGTCTGGTTCCCTGAGTCGCCACCACCTTTTCCTCTCAGAGCTGCTCCTCAGACATAGTGGTGGGCGCTTTGCTGGTGTTACTCTCCTCCTCCTCCTCCTCCTCCTCCTCCTCCGGGAGCTTCTGCAAGGCACAAGAAGGAGGCAGCCCTTTGGGTGAAGAGGAAAAGGACTGCACCCTTGGCTGCAACAGCGGCCTGTCAGGGATGTCATCAGTGGGAAAACCAAGAGCCAGAGGCCCCTCAGCAGCCCCAGGAGCAAACAAAGGGAAGTAGAAAAGCAGCACCCAGCCTCTGTCAGTGTGCTCTCTAAACACACACACACACCCTCACTGTGTCATCAAAGAAAAGCCAGAAAGGCCAGCTCTCTGTGACACCACGGCCACCACAAATGGTCCCGCTCCGGGTACCATGGTTCAGGCTCCCTCTGGGGCCTGCGAGAGAAGCAGAGCCCACCCTCCCTCCCCATTCTGACTGACTAAAACTCACCTGGACTGACCACTGAGTAGTTCTCCAAAGTGTCAGCTCTACAACCCCCACAGAAATTCTGACTACCTTCCTTTGGAGGCGGCCGCCAGCATGAGGAATGTTATTATAGTGTGCAGGGAATGGAGGCAAGAGAGAATTTTTGTAAAGGCAGGATATAAACTCAGTGGCTAAAATTATGTATATATACCTTATACCTAGAGAAGAAGACTTTGGATCAGTCTGGCTTTGACTTTGTTGGGGAAAGATGGCCCAGGATTAGCAGAGTCCTGTGGCTCACACTTGTTCAGGTGGGTCTGGAATTAAGTATGGCCTGGAAATGATCCTCTGGGGTCCCTAGGTGTATGTTGTGCCCTGCTTCTTACCTCAAGCACTCATCCGTCGGCGGGAAAGCCCTGGCACGGGCACAGCACTGCACCATCACCACTCGAGAGCTCAAGGGACATCTACAGGCCCAGTGCCAACTGGACACATGGTGCTTCTCCCCCAGGGACTGTCTCAGGCCTAGTCCGCAGCTGGGACAACAGCTGTAGAAACCCAACCTACTCATTCTCTTGCCGGTTCCTTGCCAGCAGCTCAGCCTCAGCCATGAGTAGCTTCCACTCAGGCCACCAGCCGCCTGCTTACGTCAATCAAGCAGCCTCTCGCCTCTCGCTCACGCACACGTGCACGCCCACGCATGCCTGCCCCCTCCAAAGCCAGCACTTTGAAATCACAACCAGAAACAGAGATTAGTGGGGGCAGAAGTACAGCCGCTGTCTCTAGAGGAGAACTACCAACTGGAAGAAAAACGGAAACCCAAACCAAGATTCTCATCATCTCAAATAGCCATTAGCCCCAAGCTAGACGTTCGTTCGTACTTTTTCTTTTTTCTTTTCTTTCCTTTTCTTTTCTTTTCTTTTCTTTCTTTCTCTTTTTCTTTCTTTCTTTCTTTCTCTCTCTCTCTCTCTCTCTTTCTTTCTTTCTTTCTTTCTTTTAACCAAAACTGTGTATCTCACTGATTAGAAAGAGCAGCTCTGGCCACAAATGTTGGGTGCCCTGTCTTCAGCTGGCACTGATCATGAATTTGTGTGCCGGTGGCCGGGTCTCTCTTATGCGGACTGCCATGGCGTGCATAATGGTGGGATCCAGAGGGGGGAGGCTCTGTGACAGCCCTGCCTTCCCAGGGTGTCAGCACACCATGATTCTGACCTTCCCTGAACAATAGTCTTCCCCAGGTGTAAGGGAGGTTCAAAGGCACATGGTGAGTTATCCAGGGACACAGACTTTGGAGTACCGTCCCCGGATTTGTCTCCTTACTCCTACTCAGTGCTATTTCCTATACTCCATACAGAAGATGACCAAGCCAACAGCTCCAACCTTGACTAACAAACCCGGTCCCTGTGCACCAAGATACGGCTGCGAGAATGGTGAAATATCGCAATAACCTAAATATTAAACAAGAGGAAATGGAAATATATCTACGCAGATACGGAAAGTTTGCCAAACTACTGTTAAGCAAAAAGCAGGCTAGGACCCCAATCTGCTCCCGAAGACTCCCACAAAACAACCCTGAATGATGGGCCGCAATGTTAATCTCCAGGTATTAGGGTTATAGGTGACCTTTTCTTTCTTCCTGTTTGCCTACATCTGCCAACGCAAACACAGATTACAAAGTAAACAGCAAAACCTCCTATCCCCTGACACAAGATGTCACATTCCAAATTGAAACCTTCTCACAAGAAATCTCTCCTGTTTTATTATAGGGCATCTTGTTCCCAGGCTCACTCTATATTTCAAACCCTGATGCCTCCTTGTAGTGGGGCCAGGTGAAAGCCCATCCTCATGGAGGTAATGCCAGGGTCCTCGCGCCAGTCTAGAGAGCAGCATTTCGGCTCCAAGGCCTTCCCTGCCTCCCCACTGAGTTTCCTGCGCTAGGCTCTGCCCTCCACATGCTACCCACTGGCCCACCAACTCCAGAGTGTGATATCAGAAGACAAATAATCAATGAAAGCTTGTCATCCATCTGCCCACATATGTCCTTACAATACTAAATATACTCTTTCGGATACCATTTTTGCCTCACCAACTGGCAAGCTTTTCCAAAATGATAAGGCCTCCGTGTTGGCACTCCTACACTTCTAGAGCAATATACTCTGATAGTGTTGATAGGACCTTTTTCGACAACAGTTCAGCAATATGTACCAAGATCTTAAAAATGTGCATGAGCACTGATCCATTTCTCAAGGAAATAGTGTGCTTGGGAACATGCACAAAGGTTCAGCTTCCAGGACTTTAGTCATGATATTGTTTATAACAATGATTGAGAACAACCTTAATGTCCACAGACAGCAAGACTGTTAAATCATGGTTTATCCATATGCACTCATTAAAACACTGTGTAGAAATGAGAAGCATGTTATAATGACCTGATAAGGTGTTCACAAGTAAAAAAGCAGAAGATTCCATCTTTGTTTAAAAAAATTTACATATCCATATATACAACAAATATAGATATAGATATACATACATATTATATGTAGATATAGACATGTAAGTATTGCAAAAAAAAACCAGCATTTCATCTCTAGGTGATAATATTACAGATGATTTTAAATTTTGTATACCTTTCTGTATTTTTTAAATTTTCCTACAAAGAACATGTATTACCTCTGTAATGGGTTTTGGGTGGTTTGTTTGTTTTTAATATCCCACTTTTCCTCCTCACATTTGAAATTGTTTTCATCCTGGCTGATTTGATTCAACCCAACATTTTGGTTGAAATAGTCCCTAGCTGATTAAAGCAGGTGGGATACCCTCTTGTGTTCTAAATCATACTCCTGGTCCTCCCCCATCTACCACCATCATTGCCTACTCCCTGACTTGCCCTTTGTGAGCCCTGTTGGAAATGCACTGGCACCAGCCCCTCTAGCTCTACTGCACTGTCTAAGGGGCTGGAACATGCAAGGAGAACCACTGACTTGGGGCCACCACCACCACATTCAAGGTAGGCTCCCACCTTTCCTCTCCAGCCACTGAACCCTGGGCGAAAACAGTGGAGCCGGGGTCTCGGGACTTGTCTCAGGATCCAAGGAGGGGTTGCTGCTCAGCAGACTGTGACAACAGTGACATACTCTGGGGACCACAGCAGGGAGGCCAGAAGAAGGGAAGAAAGCAGAAGAGGCCAGGAAACAGCAGCACAACAGCCAGGCCAAACACTCACCCAGGAAGCTCTTGGGTGCCATGTTTATGTGAGTTGAGCTGATCTCATGGCCTCCAGAGTGGGAGCCTCCCACAATGGGAGCCCCCCGGGCTCACCCATGCTGCCACAGCCTCAAACAAAACCTGGGACCCCGCTCTCAGCCCAGCAAGCTTCCACATACTCACATTCTCAGGAGTTTCTTTGTTTGCTTTCTGCCTCCGGAGATCTGCCTTAATGAACGCTGAGGTCAAGAGATTGAGAAACACCAAAACACAGAATTAACAACAGACCAATGATGAAGTTCACCCGAGAGGGAGTCCTCACTTTCCGAAGGGTCACAGGTATCTCAGACCTATAGATATCCCAGGGAGATGGAGTTCCCCCCACCAACTTGACAGAGCCTGGGGATCACCGATATGCCTGACAGGCAGAAGCCAATGATGACCTAGGCCTTCATTTATATACCCGTGATATTTGCCAGGGAGTTTGCACATGTTGCGCTAGTCCTTACAACAACTCCCATTTTATAGTTTAAGAAAGTGAGCCTTCTAGAAGTTGGTCCACTTGTCCAAGGTCAAAAAGCTATGGAGGTCAGTGTCATGGTCTTGGATGCAAACAAGGGTCTTTTGGCACCAAATTCTAGGCTCATTCCACCAACACATGCTACTGCCCCCCAAACACATTTCTTAATAAGCCTTCCCCTCTGCCCCTCTGCAAGTGTACCCACAATCTGGATGATCAATCAAAACACTGAGGTCTCAAATCATCAACAGCCTAAGCTCAGGAGCGGCCTAAGCACCATCTTGTCTTAAGGCCCCAACTCACCAGTGAGGGCTGCTCCAAGGGTGAGGAACACACAGAGAAAGATGTTCCCAGGCATGGTTCCGTAGTTGTCAATAATTTGGCCCTGGGAGATGGTGAAGATGATCCCGAACACCTGGAAAGGCACAAAGAAGACTGGAAACAAGGGCCTGGCCAACCAGCCCATGGGAGCACCGAGCTGTCATGATACAATGCCAGCGGCAGCCCAGTCAAGTAGGGAAAAAAGAGCCACTGTTTTGGGGCCACCACCAAATAAGAGTCCTACCTGGGCAGATACATTCAGGAGGCCAGACGATATGCCTTCCGATTCTGGGTATGTCAACTCCACAGCAAACTCAAATCCCAGCGGGAGGTAGCCCGTCATGAAGAAGCTGAAGGCCAGATCATAGAAACAAGATGGTGGAGAACTTCAAGAACAAGGAGGATAGGGAGCCCACCTCACCCACTTAGAACTCCTTTTCCTGCTTTGTTTCTAGTACCAAGATATTCCAGGCCATCCCTCTGGTGACCAAGGAAAGAGATACCCCTGCAGGTCAGGAAGAAGTTCCTATGGAGGCTTCATGTTCAGGAGCCCCCTGGGTGTCCGCTGCTTCTTCTATGCCCAACCATCAGTTACTGTCAGCATTGGGAGAAGGGATGGGGATGCCTGCGGTGTTCAGCCCTCAGCTGAGAAATTCTGCATCATCGGTCCACAGGCCCTGTGCTGGCAGTGGGAACTCCCTGGACACTAAACAGCATCTCCCTGCTCTCTGGGACCTGGAAGGAGGATCTCAGTGTCCTCCTTTTTCCCTCTAGAGGTTCACCAGCTGAGAAGGACTGACTATCTGTGTATCTCTGTTTCGGTCTTCCCCGTTCTCATACACATACTCATGTAGCACCCACAGGAAAATAACGGGGATGTGCAGCTAAGAAGAGGCCCCCACAGAAGGTGTGCTGTTTCCTGTGTTTTCTCATACAACAGGTCCAGAAAGTTCCAACTCTAATTTCTTACATCTGTAGCACACTTTGGGCTACTTTCACACTTATTTCTCTCTCACTCCTTGCAACAACCCTACAAGACAGGCCACTCTCATCTTCATTTACAGATGTGGAAACTGAGGCTCAGGGCAGTTAGGTGATACACCTATCATCTAAAGGTCAGCAGCGGAACTGGGACCAAGACCTGACTTCCTGATTCCTAGCCCTGTGCACTTTTTCTGCCCACCCCACTGTCCCAGGCAGAGCTATAAGAGACTCGAAACATTTCCTAGCCTCCCTGAGTTCTGTGAAAGACAGACTCCATCCCAATAGTATGGAAGCCCCAGGCAGCCTTTTGAAGTGTTGCAAGTAAACAAGACCTCTGACCACGATTTCCACATCTCCAGAGATCAATGAGAAGGCAACAAAGGGACGAGTGTTGCTTCCAAGGATGCTGGCAGCACTAGGAGCCACAGGATGCCACTTTCCTGCTAGACAAGTCAGAGGTCAGACTTACCCCATTGTGCCAGCGGTGATGAACACTACCCACAGGTATCCCAGGTTCAAGGTCAGTGTGTACACCACCATGCCCACTACCGTCATGATGTAGACCACCAGGGTTGTCTCTCTAAAAGCAGAGACAAAGAAGTTGACTCATTGGCTTCTGACTATAACAGGACCATTCATTCATTCATTCATTCATTCATTCATTATACAAGTATCATTTGGGCACTTGCTATGTGTCAAGCCCTCTGCTGTGTGCTGGGACATCAGTTCTCACAGAACATTCTGTCCATAAAGTTGATGGACACTGAACCAATGATCACACAAATAGTTATTTAAATACACTGTGGCCAGTGCTACAAAGGGGAAGCCCAGGAGAGGATGAGGCCCTCTTGTTACATGTGTGTGTTTGACTCCCACAGAACCCTCTCAACAATATCACGCTGCACCCCAAGCAAGAAGGACACAACCCTCTCCTTTCCTCGTCCTCCACCAAAAAACAAACAAACAAAAAACCAAAAAAACTACAGAACAAACATCAGCTCCAGTCAGGCAGCAGTGGCATGCAGGACTAGCTCAGAAGCCACCTCCTCCTTCTGGTCTGCTTTGCCCTAAGACCCCATGGCCGTGGCGGGCAGTGAGCTGAGTTTTTAGATTCTCTGTCATCTGGAGCTTCCTCTTGCCAATAGCGCAGGGGCAGCGCAGATTTTTCGTCAAACCCGAACTGCTCCGCTCCAGACAGCCTGAAGCTAAGCAAGAACATTCTCCAGCCCTGAACTAAGTGCTTGAGTCCAAAGCCCAAGTGCAAAAGCTTTGCCCACTCCCCATGACATTCCCCTTTGCCAGTCCTCTCAGAAGGACCATCAGCCGTCTGCTGCTTCCCGTCTGGGGTTCGCCCTGCATGCGCCCCTCCCTACATTTCTCCTCCCACGTTGCCCACTCGTGACTCTGCCGCAGCCCCACCCCTGCCACCGGACCTATGTTCCTCCCCCTGCCCTAGTGATGGCAGGCTGCGGGCTCCGCCATTCCCCTGCCCACCTTCCCACGAAATGAGCACTCAGACACTGAAAGCCAAAAACCCTCACTCATCCCCCCTGAAACCAGAAACAAGGTGGGGGCACCAGTAGATGTATACTTTGGTTCTATCAAACTAACCCCGCATTTATTGGATGCCAGGAATTCTGTTAAGTGCTTCACGTGCATTTATTTTCTCACTCGAGCCTGACAAAAGCCCCACAAGAAACGTACGACTACCCCTAATTTTGCAAATGAGGAAACTGAGGCACAGACCCCTTAGGTTAATTCAGAGTCACCCATTGAGTAAATGCAGAGCTGGGATTTGGACCCAGCCCTGGGATCTGAAACCTATGCTGCTCTTTCTACTGCTGGACACAGGACCTGATACGTTAACACACTTAGACACACTACGTGGTTGCCTCTTTGGAAACGCTCAAGGCCAGAGCCTGCAAAGGATGCCCCTCCCACTCAGGGCTTCACAGCAGCTGTGGAGGGCAGACGGGCTCCACATTCTCCACCCTGCACCTGTGTCTGGTCCCACCCACGCCACAACAACTTCATGGATACCCATTTCTTCTGCCGGCCATACAAGCTCCCCTCTTGCTGAGTTTGCTTAACTACAGCTTCATTTTAAACCACTGACCCATTTAGAAAAACTATAAGTAGTCCCAGCCTCAAATAACGGGATGTGACCCACCCAATTTCGAGCCACCATGTCAAATGGGTCAAATCTGGGAACCTCAGAGGGAAGAGAATGGGGCACCAAAATGCCCCGATCACAGAGCATCTTTCTCTGCCTGGGTCATAGCACAGGGTGAAGAGGATCTCACACTGATGGCAGGAGCTGGACATTAGGGACACTAACAAACAGTGGTGTCTACATCCTCAAGTGTGCCCTCAGCCCTTTCCCTGTATTTTCTAGTTCTTCTCAGTCATCTGGCTGCACATCCCAGCCCCACCACCATTCCAATCCCTTCCTTCTCCTGCTACAGATCGAGCCCTGGGAAGAGGGACACTGCTGTTCACTGGTTTTGGGGAGTGGCCAGTCCTCACTGCCCTCGGGCCGGGCTGAAGCAAGCCACTGACAGATGGCAGAGACGAGGCGGCAACCAAGCTCCCCCAGCAGTCATTAAGCCAAGCCAGGCTTCACGTCGCATTCAGCCAGGCGGCCACATCCCCAGGGATGACCTCAACTGCCCTTTGTCTGGGGCAGCCAGAGTCAGACCTGGTCTGACCAGAGCCTCACAGAAGCGGGTTTGTGTGACAGAGAACAGGTCTGCCACTGTCTGTCGCCTCCAGACACGGGGCGCTTTGGAGGCCTCGACAAAGCAGCCACCCTGCCCCAGGGTAGGACAACCCTGGCAGCTCCCCAGCTGACCCGCATTAATGGAGCACCTAGTGTATACACAGCACTGGAAAGGAGCAACAAGAAGGGAAGGGTGTCAGGTCTCCATTCTCCAGAGCCTTTCCTCTAAGCCTGGCTATTGGCTTGAGGCACTGGGTGGGCTGCTTTTTACAAAGGCGGTTTCCCCCACTGACCTGGCAGCCATGAGGATGGGGCCCAGGAATCTATTTTTAATAAGCATCCTGGATGAGCCTGGCATACACTAAAATCTTAGAAAGGCTGCTCGGGGCTCCTGGAAACACACTGGGCATTCAGGCCCCAAGCCCATCACGGTATTTACGAAGGAGGTATAAGCAGTAGCAAGATGATACGATGTAATCCAGAGGAAGCCCAGCCACCTTGCTTAACCCCTGGGAGCCAGGGGAACAGGGCAGGGCATCACTTCCTCATCGCCATTCTTTGGGATTTCCATTAACTTTGCAACTGCTGGCATTTTTCTACCTTTGTTTTCATTTCTCCCTCATCTGCCCCTTTCGCAAACTACATGGGAGGATGGGGAAAGAGTACTGGGCTAGGCCTCATGTCCTCCGTCTCTGATCTTATCAGATCCCCCATGGAATGGGTACTATTTCCCTCATTTAATAAATGGAGAAACTGAGGCTTAGAGAAGATAAATGTGAACCGCTCGACCACTGAGACCCCCAGCTCTCACACCCAACCCTCTGGAGCCAAATTGCTGAGGGATGTGTCATTTCAAAACAAGGGTCCCCAACTGTCAGTCCAAGAGGAGGACACTTACTTGTAGGTTTTGGACCTATCCAGCCAGATGCCTGAGATCACTGCCCCAAGCATTCCTGCAATGACGATGGTCAGGCCGATTCTTCCAGCATTCACTTCTTCCCCCTGGGAAAACCACAGCCCCCGTGATCACCCAGGCATGGGACAAGACACCAGACAGAGCACAGTCAGCAGGAGGTGACAGGGGAAAGAAAGGCAAGTAACTCAGGCTCCATTTGAGCTGATTCTCTGAACGTACCAGGACAAGGTGACCGAACTGTCCCAGAGCCACTCTGAAGTAGATCTTTTTAAATTTAATCTTTACGGCAGCCCTTTTATCTTATTTGTCATTATCCCCATTTCACAAACAGGGAGACTGAAATACATATATCCAAATATTCTGTGCTTAGTTGTTTTTCTTTTAATTTTTGAACTATTAGTGCCAAAAAGAATAGGAATATGACAGTTATATAATCTCGTTTGCTTCTCAAAATTCCCCACTGTGAGGTTAGAAATCAATAGTCTGTGCTTTATAGATGGAAAAAAAAAAAAAAAAGCAAGGCACAGTGAGATGAACCTGCTAGCGGGAAGGTCATGAGGCATTTATTAAGAACAGAGCTAGGATCTGAACTCAGACCTGTCAAACTCCAAAATGGGAACACGTTAGCCACAGTGGCCTACCAGCTCTGCAAGTGTGAAACCCCTGTCCTTTTTTTAAAGATTTTATTTATTTATTTGACAGAGAGAGATCACAAGTAAGCAGAGAGAGAGGGGGAAGCAGGCTCCCTGCTGAGCAGAGAGCCTGATGAGGGGCTTGATCCCAGGACCCTGAGATCATGACCTGACCCGAAGGCAGAGGCTTAACCCACTGAGCCACCCAGGTGCCCCGAGACCCCTCTCCTTTCAAAAGGGGGTTGGACCTAGGATTCCGGACTCCAGGACACACACTATCCCACTCCTAGGATCCAGCCCTTGCTGGTTCCACAAACATTTAAGAAATGCTTTCAGGGATGCCTGGGTGGCTCAGTCAGTTAAGTGTCTGCCTTTGGCTCAGAGCGTGTTTCCAAGGTCCTGGGATCGAGTCCCATAGTCTGGCTCCTTGCTCAGCGGGGAGCCTGCTTCTCTCTCTGCCTCTGCCCCTCTCCCTGCTCATGTGCACTCTTCCTCTTCTCTCTTTGACAAATAAATAAAATCTTAAAAAAAAAAAAAAGAAGGAGAAATGCTTTCAGTTGGGCAACCAAGAGTTCAAAATTAAACTCTGCCCCTATTTTACAAATTAAATCTTTCATACATGATCTGTATGTCTGTAGGTTTACCTACTGTACAGCTTGTCGCCATGCCATGTACTTTACATACATAGAACATATGAATATATACATATGGGCACACATACATAGTATTAGTTTCTAATGCTAAAAAATAATCTTTCAATAAGTAATTGTGTTTCTTTTGCAGAAAGGAGAATGAGAGTTCAGAGAGGCTAACCAGCCTGCCACACAATTTAGAGCCACCAGAGCTGGGGCTGAGAACCAGGGCCGTCTCCCTCCAAATCCCGTAAGCACAGCACCATACGACACTGTCTGGAATGGCGAGGGCAGGGTGCTAGGGGTACTAGAGTTAACCACTGCCCCAGCTCCTGCCGGGATGGACAGAGCTTGAGAGCTCTCTTCAGCGTGCTCAGGGGACTACCTTACCGGGTAGTGCAAGATCACCATGCGATTCAGCAGTGTGGACAAGGCATAAAAAGCACCAGCATTGAGACCTGAAAGAAGGAGGGAGACACACAGCATTAGGGGCAGCCTCTGCTGGACCACTGCTAACGTCTCCCCCTGGCAGGTAGGGAGGTCAGAAGTCCTCAGCTTCACTGCCATTATGAGTGGTGTCCCCAGAAAGTAGGAGGCTACTCAAGACTCCAAAACAACCCAAAGTAACTATTTTAACCATTTCTTAGCCCACACCACTGCCTGCGGATCCCTTTAACCCTGCCCTGGAAACACAGGCGCTAGAAACATTACTCCCAGGTCAGAACCATCTACATTCCTCTCAAGCATTGACCTATTGACCTACAGGGTCAGCAGAACCACTGGACACCTTCCATCTCCTCCTGATGACCTGTCCCCGCCCCAGACTGCTCCAGGCCTCTGACCCTTGACATCACTCCTTCTGTGGGTCATTTCTCTCTTTTCTGTCCCCATTTTTCCTTCAGCTTTCTTTTTGGCCCAATGTCACACAAAATCTCATATTTGAAACCAGAAAGCACCCTAAAGAGCACTGAGCTGACTCTCCTAACTCATCAATTCATCCAACGGATAAAAGGAACACCTAGAATATACCGTAAGAATCCACGAGGCCATTTGTGCAAAGCTATAGTAGCTTTGATGAGACTGAAACTGACCCAATGGCGATGAAGATAATGATGATGATGGTAGTGAGGAAGATAATGGTGAGGAGGAGGATGGAGAGGAGGAGGGTGAGGAGGAGAGTGGGGAAGCAGGTGGGGAGGAAGGTGGCAGTAGCACATTTTTATGTACTAGATACCATTTAGGTATCTTACAATCCTTATAGCAAGGTAGCTAATATTATCATCCCCATTTTATAGATGAGGAAAATGCACCCAGTTTTAAAACAAATACAGAAAGTCACTTTTTAATGCTCACCAGGGGTCTTAATTTTAACTAATTTTGAGGCTCACAAGACCATCACTGGTACACTTGACATTAGATGCCCTGGAAGACTCTAAGTAACAGGACACAGCTCACGAGCAGGGCAGCCTCAGGGGTTCCTCTTCCATGAAGCCTAGACCATGGAGCCATCCAGAACCCATCCTCTTTGGCCTCACAGTGATAGCACAGGTGCAGGGAAATGTGGGCATGGCAGCCACCCTGGTTTAACACCTCGCAGGAGCCACTATTGCTGGTGGCATCTCCAGAGGCATAGCTTCAGGGCCCCAGAGAGGACAGGCCAGTGAAAAGAGTCAGCACACTCAGAGAAGCACAAAGAATGGCCTCCTAGCAGATATGAAAAGGTCCCCCAATCCAGACAGTCATTTTTAAAACTGAGGTCATTTTTATCATATGCGATGTTGCCTAAATGCAGTTCACTTACTCCCTTTATCAGGTTCCCAGAGAAATGAGACACAAAGTTAAGTGCAAAAGAGTTTTAAAATGCAGATTCCTGGGCCCCACCCTGGATCTACTAAATCTGATTTTCCTGAAATAGAGCTAGGAATCTGTAATTTAAAAATAACAACAGGCACCTGGGTGGCTCAGTCAGTTGAGCATCAGAATCATGATTCTGGCTCAGGTCACTATCTCTGGGTCACGAGATCGAGCCCTGTGTTGGGCTCCGTGCTCAGTGGGAAGTCCCCTTGCCCCTGTCCCTCCCCCTCTCACCCCTCCCCCATTGCTCACTCACATACTCTCTCTCTGTCTCTATCTTAAATAAATAAGCAAGGGGCACCTGGGTGGCTCAGTGGGTTAAGCCTCTGCCTTCAGCTCAAGTCCTGATCCCAGGGTCCTGGGATCGAGTCCTGCATCGGGCTCTCTGCTCAGCAGGGAGCCTGCTTCCCCCCTCCCTCTCTGCCTGCTTGTGATCTCTCTATCAAATAAATAAATAAAATATTTTAAAAAATTAAATAAATAAGTAAAATCTAAAATAATAATAATAATAATAATAACAACAGGGGTGCCTGGGTAGCTAAGTCGATGAAGTGTCTGACTTGATCTCAGCTCAGGTCTTGATCTGAGGGTCTTGAGTTCAAGCCATGCACTGGGCTCCATGCTGGGTATAGAGCCCACTTAACAACAACAACAACAACCCTAGCCATTTCTTAGACTCAGTAGAGTTCATAAATAAATGACCTTGGGAATCTGGAAGATCCAAGACTAGGCCCAGGCTCCCAGGTTAACATGGCGGCAAATGGTATGAGAAGGGTTTTCAAGACCATGAGAATGACCCTACGTTAGAGCTGCTCAATGCTGCTGCAAACCAGAATCACCTGGAATGCCTTTTAAGAGCAGATTCCCAGGCCCTCACCCAGACTTTCTGAAACTGAATTTCTAGAAGAAAGGCAGGGAAATTCAGGCACACACTCAGCCAAGCACCCCAGGCGATTCTGTCATCAGGCAAGCTTGGGAAACACTGATCCCAGATTCTATCTCTGGGTTCTGGATACTCTGTGTTCCTTTCCCTTGGCTCCTTCCTGGACTTGTAGTAAACCCTCGTTTTAAAGGTCCAGCCTCACCTCAGCAAAGCTGCAGGGAATCACAAGAAGGATATTATGCCTACTCTCAAGCAGGATCTGAGAGGAAGCGCAATCACCCTCCCGAAACCCATAGGGTTGTGGGCAGTAGTAAAGCCCTTGAAAGCCCCAAGGGAAGGTGATAATCTTCCCGTGTTTGGATGTGAGTTTGGATGTCCAGCACTGGAAGATTATTCAGAAGGGTAGCTGAAGGCAAGGCTGGGGGACAACATGGAAAAGTGTTCCCTTTGAGGACATTCTTTAGAAGAGAAGCCTTTTCAGTGATTTTTTTCAATGTGGCAATTGTTGTGCCATTGATGATAGGACAGAAGAGGGGGCCATGTGAAAGCAGGGCCTAGGGACTCAAGGAGAAGGTAGCCAAGGAAAGGTTATTCTCTGATGCCACACCACTGCCCAACTCTGCTTATACAAATCCTAAGACCCACTGGGCCCCCAGACTCTGGCATACCTATAGAGAATATGGTTCCAGCCCTGGGTCTTCCTGCATTGCCAAACCTGGAGAAGGGGATGGGGGGTATATTTTACTAGAGGAAAAGGCAGTTTTTTTATTCCTGTGATTTCAGCAATATCAAACACAAAACCCATCTCGGCCCCCTCCTCTCTAAGCTGGGCTGCCAGATTTAGGAAAAAAAAAAACAAAAACAACCTATCCAGTTATAATTTGAATTTCAGGTAATACTTTTTTTTTTTTAAGATTTTATTTATTTGTCAGAGAGAGGGAGAGAGAGCGAGCACAGGCAGACAGAATGGCAGGCAGAGGCAGAGGGAGAAGCAGGCTCCCCGCAGAGCAAGGAGCCTGATGCGGGACTCAATCCCAGGACGCTGGGATCATGACCCGAGCCGAAGGCAGCTGCTTAACCAACTGAGCCACCCAGGCGTCCCCAGGTAATACTTTTTCAGCATAAATATGTCCCCAATACTCCATGGGACATGTTTATGCTGAAAAGAATGTGCTGTTTACTGACATTCAATTTAGTTGGAGAGTCTTTATTATATCTCTCAAACCTATCTCTAACGGTATGACCAGAGGCCTACAAGAAAAAGCCCCCTGAAATTCCTCCAAAGCCCTCACCAGGCTCTACTCTGGGTAGCAGACTCAGCAGCTTGGGGAAGACTTGGAAAGCCATGAGAAAGACAGTACTGGACATCCCACCAGCAACATGGGAGCTACTCCCTATCTGGTGAAATGCAGTTCAGACCAATGAAAGAACGTGGGAAATCAAGTTCGCCAACACAACAGCAATGGGCATTCACGCAGTATCTCTCTGCGACTGCGTTAGAAGCTTTCATCGCCATTCAGAGCACTCCAGTGGGAACCAAATTTGATTCTTATTTTCAGAGATTTTTATTTCATAGGCACAGGATGGGTAAAGGAGGTACATTCAGTAATTTGGCAGAGCAGACATTAAAACCCAGACTCCTTGTTCCTTACGTGCCAACTCTGAATTCACCACTCCAGCATTCAAGGCTCTTACTCCAAGACATGTTCACCCACATCCAGCAAATGTGCCCATGAAATGCTGTCATCAGCTTGATTCAAGCCACATGCTCTTAAGTGCATGTAATGCAGAGGAAAATATGAACATCATACGTACAATATAAAAAGTATGAACCATTTCATTTTTCAAAGCCCAACCTGAAACTACAGGATGAGTGGTGGGACACTCGGGAGAGCTTCAAACCACCTAGGTGAATTTATAGAGGGTTTTGTTTTGTTTGTAATTTGGAGCAAAGATTCCATTTGTAGGAGAGCAGTGATTCTTAGGTGGACTGAGTCCCAAACACTGCCTTTACATGACCTCTAAGCCTTAGAAAGACGCTAAAGTCAAGACCCCATCGTTTCCAAATCCCAAAGATGGCTGGTCAATATAAGTTGATCCTGCTTTGAAAACCCCAGAACTGATCTGCATCTTAGGAGAAGGCAACTCCTAGGCAGCTAGTTTAGAGGATTGAACCTGAAGAAGGAAATACCTCCCCTAAGTAAACCCAAGGACCACTGAGACAAGTGGGGCTAAAAGAGCTCTGGCTTTGTCTCTAGATGTTCCTTTCTCCATAAGGACACAAAAATGGCATGGTGGTGAGGAAGATAGGCTTCGGCATCAGTCAGACAGAAGTTTAAATCCAAGCTCTGTTGCTTGCTAGCTGTCCAGTTGTGGGCAAGGAACTAAACGGAGCCTCAGCGTCTTCATATATAAAATGGAATGGAGTTGAGAACCGATGTCATGGGATTGTTCTGAAGATTAAATGTGATAATCTATGTAAAGCACTTAACAGAGGGCCTGACATACATTAATAGCTCAATAAAATTCTATCCAAATCTGTTATTAAGCCTAATAATCGTATCCTTGTTGGTACAAAGTTTAGTCACCAAGTCCAATTTTCTATCATGGAAAAAGGCTTGCAGTTTTCTAACTATAATTAAATATATGCAAACATCCAGATTAGTTTAACTCTCTCTCACTGGAATAACCCCAGGTCTTTGACAGAAAAAAAAAATTAATAAATTCTATCTCTGCAATGGAGTCAAATGCTCCTAGAGACTCAGAAGCAAATTGTTTTTCTGGGTAGCAGTATCCCAATTTAAATGACAATTTACTTTCACCCTTTCTCTCCTCACCTTCTAGGACTCCCATTATGCGTATGTTGGTTTGCATGATGGTTTCCCACAGGTCTTAGGGCTCTGCTCATTTTTCTTCTTTATTTTTTCTGTTCCTCAGACAGGATAATTTTATGTGATCTATCTTCAAGTTCAATGATTCTTTCTGCTGCCAGTTCATATCCGATTTTGAGCCCTCCAGTGAGTTTTTCATTTTAGTTAGTGTACTTTCAATTCCAGAATTTCTATTTGGTTCTTTTTTATTCCTGTCTTTACTGATATTCTCTATTTGGTAAGACATTATTCTCCACCTTTTTTTTTTCATTTTTTAGGCATGGTTTCTTTAGTTCTTTGAACATTATTTATATTGTTGATTTATAATCTTTATTATGTCCATAGGTTTATTATGTCCATATGTTCCTTAGGAACAGTTTCTATTAAGTGCTTTTTTCCTCTTGTGTATGAGTCATTCTTTCCTATTTCTTTGCATGTCTCATAATCTTTTGGTAAAGCTGGACATTTTAAATACCATGTCAGCTCTGGAAATGAGATTCTCCTCCCTCCCTGGGATTTGTTGCTATTGTTGCTGTTTGCTTGGTGACTTTCCTGGACTAATTTTGTAAAGTTTGTATTCTTTGTCATGTGCAGCTGCTGGTTTCTTCTACACCAGTTTAGTGGTGAGGTAATGATTAGACAGATATTTCTTTAAACACCTTAAACCAGTAAGTCCCCACCTTTGCCAAGGACCTCCTCTGTATGGGGTCTGAGGCTCTCCTTCAATGCTCCAGCAGGCAGGTGTCAACCCTGCCTTAGCCTTCACTTCCTCCTTGCCCAGAGCCTCAAGGTCAGCCAGAGGTGAGAGTTTAGGGCTCATATGCATGTGGACTTCTATCTAGATTCCTAAGAATATGTCAGAGCTTTTCAAAGCTCCTATGACCATCTCATTCTCTAGATTTTTGTTTCAAGATTTTTGGCCAGCTTCCTGTTTACCTAAACTGGTTATTACTACCTTAGGCAGTTATGATGCTAAACAGTGATGATTTTCAATAAATGCCCTAGAAATAGTGCTTTTCCCACAGAGCAAGCTCTGAGTCAGGTTAAATAAAAGCAAGTCCTCTGAATGGGGCTCTTCTAGGGAACTGTCAGATATCAAATAATGACCTAGGAATGGGGTTTTGGGGGGAGCTCCAGAATTGTTTTTGCCCCATCAAGTGGCTGTGAGGCTGCTGATTCTCACAACTACCATGGCTGCTAGGCTGCTGGTTGTCAAGGTTACCACAGAGACTGGGAGAGGCGGATTGGAATAGGGCAAGTTAAAACACAAAGCTCACTGTTCTTGCCGGTATTCAGTCATTTTTTTTTCCTTGAATAAATGCCCCTTGGATTGTTGCAAACCTTTGTTTAAGAGTTCTGGAAATTTGATTTTGACAATGTTTGTCAGTGTACTTGTTGCTTTATGGAAAAATAGATTATCCAAGGTCCTCACTCCACCATTCCAGAAGTGCTTCCCTATTTCCTGTGTTATCATTTAACCAAATAGATGAATGTGCAGAAGTACAGTGTTAAAACCACACTGCCAAATGAAAGACCATATAAGCAACCAGCCATGCAAGAGCTGAAGGGAAGAGTTGCTTTGCTTCCCTGCCTATACACTGGGATCATTGCCCACTTATCACCACTATCATCATTCTCACCCATAAAAAAAAAAAAAAACTTTATTAAGCACTCATCTGCCCTAGAATGCCAAGGTAGGCCTAAAATACCCTAATGTCAGATGCAATAAGATTTATGGTGTTCAAAAGTCAATGCACTTGAGATATTTAACTCATGGAAAAGTGAAAGTTCTTGGAACCATGCAATCCTAAATCTGAAAGGGATCCCAAAGGTCATGTGGCTTTACTATCCATCTATATAGCCTGATATTCTCTAAATATCCCCACTAAGTGATTGGTCCCATCTACACTTGAGTGCCTCCTACTTATGGACAACTCACGTAACTTGTTTAATTGGACATCTTAAGTATTGGAAAGTCTGTCTGCATGTTGTGGGTGAAGGCAGAGACATTCTCAGAACGGAAAAGCTGGAGAAATGAGAAATGGAGACTTGAGACCTTGAAGACTAATCTGTTCATCCAACACTTTTCCAGGTGAGAGATCACTTATTTTTGTGAGTGCCTGAAAAATAGGCGTGCCACTCTCCTGTGTGTGATACTACCTCTTCTCTCATGCCTCCGCAGATAAACACTCTAATAATTAACATGAAACTCTGGCATAATTCAAAAAGGGGTATAGGCATTAATTGTGTAGGCTTTGGAGTTAGATAAACCTGTATTTGAATTCTGCCTCTGCCAATGCAAAGCTGTGTCTTCTCGAGCTAGTTACTTAGCCTGTCTTGAGTTTAAGTTTTTTCCTCTGTTAAATAGGGAAAACTATGGTACCGACCTCACATGGGCATGATGAGAGTTAAATAAATAAAATCATACATTGGAAGTCTTGGCACATAGCAAATGCTATTGTTATAAAAAAAACAAGGTTAAAGCCAACTGGGGTTTCACTAAGCATAAATTATGTCAAACCAACCTTGTTTCTTTTCTTCTAATGGTTACTAAGCATGTTACACAACTGTTGACTCTTGATTTTTAACAAACTAACTAGTAAGGGTACCTGGGTGTCTCAGCTGGTTGTGTCTGACTCTTAGTTTCAGCTTAGGTCATGATCTGGGGGTCATGGGATCAAGCACCATGTTGGGCTTGCTGTGCAGCAGGGAGTTTTCTCCCCTCTCCCTCTCCCTCTGCTCTTCTCCCCACTCATGTACTTTCTCTCTCTTTCTCTCTCTCTCTCTCTCCCTCTCTAAAATAAATAAAATAAAATCTTTTAAAGAATTTTAATGCATATTCAACTGTATCTTCCAAAAGCCAAAAAGGGAACTAAAAGAGGGATACTGTCTTGTATTCAGGTAAAAAAAGAGTCAGTGTTACAAAATGACAGAGGATTGGTTGGGGACCGGTTTATGTGACAAGACTCATGAATGCATTCATTCATTCATTCATTCATTCACTAAATAACTGTTAGAGTGTCCAATCCAGGCTGGCCACTCCTAAGGAACTATAAAGATGAAAAGCCATAAATCCCTACCCTTGGGACATTCGTAGTCTAGGGGGAAAAGAGACCTGGAATTTTCTTTTTAAATGGTAAGTGTTAAGATGCACCAGGAACAGCGTAATAAAACAGGTAAAGGTCACCTTTATAGCAGTGATACTCAGGTAAGACCTGAAGGATCAGCAGGCATTTGTCAAGACAACTTGATTTGGGAGGGAATGCTTTTCTAAGTGAACTTCACAGAACATGCAAAGGCCCTGAGGCACAACTGACTCTTCTGGGTTGGTCCTGAGCAATAGCTTTATATACACACTAGGGATTTGGAAAGAGTAAGACACACAGACACATGAGGTCTTACGTAACCAATTTAAACACACTCCTGGACACACATGCACCTTACCATAGGTGATGACAAGCAGGACAAAGTTGAGGTTTTTGAAGAGCCGGACAATGGAACTTAAGTACGATGCATCAGAGGACGCCAAGGCATAGCTCAGAGATTGTGCCCTGCTCGGGGGATGTTTAGGCTTCTCCTTGAATACTGAAAGGAAAGAAACAGAGATATCACTGCAAATCCCCATGGCCCCACCCCTGCAGAGCTAACACACGGACAAGAGAAAAGGTTAAGACTCAAAAAGGAGGGCGCCTGGGTGGCTCAGTTAGTTAAGCGACTGCCTTCGGCTCGGGTCATGATCCCAGAGTCTTGGGATCGAGTCCTGCATCGGGCTCTCTGCTCCATGGGGAGTCTGCTTCTTCCTCTGACCTTCTCCTCTCTCACGCTCTCTCTCACTGTCTGTCAAATAAATAAATAAAATCTTTAAAAAAAAAGACTCAAAAAGGAAATATTAATTCTTCAATTAAATCCATCAGTCCCTCTTTCCTGAAGCTGTTTCTCACCACCTGTGGCTTTTTCTTCATGGCCTCCAGATGGCTGCACTCCCTGGGCCTCCCAGGCAGCGTTCGAGGGTCAAGGAGTCCCATAATCAATCAGCAAATAACATATCACAGCACACTGAAAATAACATAGTAGTAACACATGGAGAGAGAGAAAGTGAGAAAGTTTGGGGTTAGTGAGCCCAGTGAATGGCTTAGCACCAGAGCTCCTCCCAAGGGGGAAGGAACTGTGTCGCCCCTGCTTAGCAGAGAGCCTGGCACATGGCGGCCAAGGAATATTCCCTGAATAAGTGGAAAGATCTTCTGTTGGAAAAAACCTCAAGTCAATTCCTAGTTTGTCAAATTCTGACTCTAATGTCTGCCTCGTGAAGAGACAAGAGAATTAACACATACCCCTGCAGGAGGGGTAGGAAGGACTGGGGAGAGATAGCACGAAAACCATTCATTTTGTATTTGATTTCCAGCACAGCTGGTACAATCCATTTGATGGCACTGATCGCTGTTCAGGTTCTGGGGGCAAACAAGTGTAACCATTTGTTTGGTTAAATTGCTTCCCCACCCCAAGTTGGGTCCAGGCAAGCTCCATGTAGCTTCTCCACATGCCATGAGAACGCTCCTGAAAGGTCAGTAGACTGTCTCTAGTTAGAGGAAGCTCTGGACGTGAGGTTTACTCTCGAAGATCAACCACCCCCTCCGCCGCAGAAAACCTTCAGAGCCCTAACTTCAGAGCCCTGCTTCTTCCTTCTCCAGAAATACTCCTGGATTACTTCCTGGTGTTGGAAACCATTCATCCACTGTCTTGTCCATTCACCTCCCTTTGCATGAGGAGAAAGAAAGCAAGTCAAGAGGCTATCTCTATTCCATTTCTCCAAGGGCCTGGAGAAACTACAAACCAGAATTCAGATCAGATTTTTCAGTTCTTTACTCAATTAGCCACTCTCTGGCTTGATAATAAAATGTCAAAACGTAGAAATGTCTTACCTTCAGGATTTCAAAAGCAAAGAACCACGCGCTCATCCGCTATGAGCACAGGCATTTGAAGCTGGGCACGTTACAAGCTGAAACTTAAGGTCTGGTTGAGTAAGAGGGACCCTGGGTGGACTGTTCTTTCCTGCTGCCATCCACACTCCCGTAGCTTCTCCCCTTCCCAGAATCAGCAAGTCCTCCACCCAACATATCCTGCCAGCTTCGAAAAGCCATCAGACTTTCTCATCTTGGAGCCCAGGGGGAGAGAGTGACTCAGTGAGAACAGTGGAACGGGGTGCACGATCATAAAACAGGAGGTGGGGATGGCAGGGAAGAATGAGACCTTTACCACGTGAGATGGAATGTTAGGAAGAAAGCTGGTTAACCTTCAAAGGCGAATGACTAACTGAAAATTAAAAAGCCTCTACTATGCTATTTCTGAATTTATCACAACACATTCAGATGATAGAAGAGAATATATAAATATATTAACCAATATCTCAACGATCAAATGTACATGCACATAAAATTAATAGTGGTTGTCTGAGGTTGGTGGTGGGGATTAACTGGTACAGTCTAAGTTAATGGTTATTTCTTTTTATTTTAATTATTTATTTTATTTATTTATTGAAGTAACCTCTACCGCCAACATGGGGCTCGAACTCACGACCCTGAGCTCAATCAAGAGTCGCATGCTCTACCAATTGAGCCAGCCAGGCACCCTGGCTATTCTTTTCTTTATGCTTTTTCATATTGTCCAGATTGTTCCATTACCAACATGTATTCCTCTTATGGTTTAAAAAACAAAAAGCCTCAAAAAATGTGGTCCCCACGTATACTCAGATGAATCTACAAGAATATTAGTGTTTGTGGGTCATTTCTGTTTTAGTTTTGTTCCAGAAATTTAGAGTATGGAGTTACACAGGATTAGACGATCTCTGCCACTTACTACCCATCTAATCTTGAATAATTTACTTAACTCCCCTTAAGTCTCATTTTCCTCTTTGTTGGAAAGAGGGGTTGATGGGATTGATGATGGGAATTTCCCTCAAGATTCAAGGAGATCAGGCATGCTTAGCACAGTGCCTGGATATATATCGTAAGCACTCAGTGGGGTTTCATCACAGGGATCAACAGTCTGCCCGTTAATTCTGGTGAGGTTTTATTGGGGAACCGGTTGATTACAATTAAATCCTTACTGAGCAGCTAACAAAGTACACAAGATCAGCTAGCACTCTATTGGCTAAGACATTTGAAGACCTCGACTAGCAGCCTGGCATCTACTTTCTGTAAATGTCCGTGGTATTCTAAGGTCATGTTCACAAGGTCCCCACCCAAGTCAGCAGAACCTCCCTGCCTCATGGCCCCCCATCATTCTACCAATGACCTTACCGATGATGACAAGGATGAAAAGCAGAGTAGCCACGCCTGCTATTATGTAAAACATGATGCTGATGTGGTAGGCAAGCTTGTCCCGGTCTTCGATGTTGGGTACCAAAACAGGAGGGACCAAGAATCCAATTGCAATTCCAAGCTATAGAAGACAGAGACAATCAATCACAGTTTCCAACAGCCAAGAGATGATAGCATAAACTTAAAGAGACTCCTGATAAGAAACATAAACCCTAACTTCCAGGCCTCCTTAAAACCCCAACAGGGATTGGTTCCCCCCTCTCAAAACACCAGAGAGATCTTTCATTTCATTGACAGCTCAACTCTTTTTATTGATTGAAACTCACCCCTGATCACCCTAACTATTGATACCTATTGGAAAACATTAGAGTTGGGGTTCTCAAGGCAGGCTGGCTCTTCTCTAGCTGCAGACTAATGAACAATGTGCTCTATAGTAGAGTAAAACAATGTTGATTTTTTTTTCCACTGAATTTTTCATCTCACTGAATCCATTAACCTGGAGCTTTGAGACTGGCTGACAGAAAAATTCTATACCTTACAACCCCTTGCATTCAGTAGGAAATGAAAGCCTAAAATTGTTATCCTACTCACACATGTGAAAAAATAAGTTCATTGTGTAAATAACTCATAATTTACAAAGCATCTACAGTGTGAAGTCACATGTCACCACGTAAAGGTACGCACACAGGACACGGGGACATGAAAACTGGTTATAAACATGCACGCACACACACCAGCGAATTAAAACATCTCATACCTGCCTCACAGTTCAAATTCCCAGGACCTGACAGATAACATGACTTGGGCATTACCAAGTTCCAAAATGCCTCAATTCAGTAATGGCTTACTGTGACGTAACTCCCGAAAGCCCTTCCGCCACACATACATACCAAGGCAGAAATCGGAAAACAGCCTAAGAACTCAGGCAAGCCTCAAATTCCCAAAGTGAAGGAAGATGAGTTAATCTTTTAAGGTCCCACTTTTCTTTACTGCACTTGAAAGGAACTGCGGGATAGAGGGCGAGTTAGTTTCATGCCACACTATAACAATGTCTATTACACCTGTCTGTTGACCACCTTGATTGCTTTTCCAGCCTGTCGGTTACAACCACTCGGGATGGTGATTCTCAGCTCTGGAACAGTGGCAAAAGTCATCATCGATAGGCACAGTATAGGGTTCTTCCAAATTTGCCAATATATAATCAATAAATCAAACAGATCTTTAAACCATCTGTTGTGTGAAAAGTACTCTGCTAGATATTTTACCAAGGTACCACGATGGATATGGCACAATTCTCGCTTTCAAGTAACTTTATAATCTAGGGGGGGGCAGGGACTTTAAAACAAAGATACAAAAGAATAACACAAATGGGGTTATTGTGGGTTGAAATCATAGGATGTTATTGTTTTGAAAGTTCCTTTGTCATAGTCTAGTACAGCCTGATTAATAGAGGGTCAAGTGGAAGTTAATTGAAGGTAAGCTCCAGGAGGTGAGTCACACAGGGTCATAAGAGTTCTAGCAGATTTGAGATAAGAAAACAGATCTCCTAGCTTCTCTGGCCAGGGCCTCCCCCACTGGGCCTGACAAGTCTCTCCAGCGCTAAGAGTCCTGAGAAAGGGCCAAGTGAGCAGACTTCTCCAGAAGAGAAGATATTTCATGTCCTTGGAGTCTTCTCTGATCCTTGGTCACGACGATTTGCCAGAGTTAAGTCTAGCTTAAGGGTTGATCTCCAAGAATTTAAGGGGTTAAAACCAGCCAAAGACAAAGGGACAAATACAACGGGCACAGTTGGAAAACAGGGCCCCCTGCAGGTTCTATCTGGTCTCCCACTACTTCGGTGTTGGAGATCTAGGCGTTCAACCGAACCCCAAAACATCCCTAGGTATTAAGGAGGACACGTAATGCATGGAGCACTGGGTGTGGTGCATAAACAATGAATCTTGGAACACTGAAAAAATTAAATTAAATTAAAAAAAAAGAATGAGGGCAGATATGGGATATTATCCAAGGGTCTAGGATTCTTTCATTCCCCAAAGGACCTTGATACAGGAAAACCTAATACTCAGTAATCTTCTGCTTTGAGAAAGAAGTCCTCCCAGCTGGTTCTACACCAGACCAGACTCTGATTCCTCAGAGACCACACTCCATTCTGTCTACACACGAGGCCTGAATGAGTGCTATTCCACATGGAAGCCTTCTCCAGACAGCAGGCTGAGGCAGTCAGCTGTAGGGGCCTGTGGTGATCCAGCCAGAGAGCAACACTGCCACAAGGTACCCTTTCTTCAGAAGGAAGTTGACTTTGGAGGTACTTCCGTGGTCAGCGTGGAAAACAAAAACATCCAGATTGGACAGTTAACTGCTGCTGCCTCTTCTGTTTTTTTTTCAAGATGTATCTGTTCCTTCTTCTTGAGATCTGTGTTCAGTGAGAGTTTACAGGCTCTGCTCTGCTCCCAATTCCTCAGTCTGTCCCCTGGCAGGTGTTCAGTCATGTTGGCTAGCTGGACAGATGGATGGATGAACACTGGTGGAAAAATCTTCTCTACGCAAAGCTGGTGGTATCGCACAGGTCTGCCCATGAGGGTCCCTGTTCTTTCTACAAACCACATTGGATTCAGAGGGGTAAGGGGAATATAAAAAGGTTTACAGGGGAGGAGGTAGGGAGAAGGTAGGATGGCTGGCCATTTCTTGAGCATCTACTATGTACTGTGTATCTAACAGCATTTATCTTTTTCATTTAACCCAAGAAATTTTACAATAAAGACAAAAATGAGAAACACTGATGGTCCACACCCTGCCTAAGGTCACATGGGCAGCTAGCAGAAGAGCTGGCCCTCCTATACCAGTTCTGACTCCAGAACCTGGGCTCACCTCCCATCTCCTGTGACAAGTTGGCATGACACTAGTCATGCCACCAACTAGGTTCTCACCCATTCAAGTTCTGTCATGAATTTTCTAGGACACCTCAAGGGTAAAAATCAGAGACCTGCAGCCCAAGTCAGTACAAGATTAACTCAAAGAGATGGGAGAATGCCACCCCAAGAGGGTGTGCCGGCTCCTTTCCTGCATTACAAAAACAAGACCCGGGCCGTGAATGAAAATGATTAAAAATAATTGCTAACTGGTTTGATTGGTTTATGTCCTAGCGTTTGTCCTAGTTTTATCATCCTCAACAAATTATTAGTCATGGGCAAAAAACACAATACACAGTCAAACCATCCAGTCTTGGCTCTACAGGAACTTAAGCTTTAAAATTTGCTTTTCAGGTGCGCCCGGATGGCTCAGTGGGTTAAGCCTCTGCCTTCGGCTCAGGTCATGATCTCAGGGTCCTGGAATTGAGCCCCGCGTCGGGCTCTCTGCTCTGTGGGGAGCCTGCTTCCCTCTCTCTCTGCCTGCCTCTCTCCTTGTGATCTCTGTCAAATAAATAAATAAAATCTTTTAAAAAAATTGCTTTTCAAGTGGAATTAGGTTCTCGTCATTTCTACAGTACCAATAGCAAGATTGCCCACGTTGCCTGAAAAGGCCACCAGCCTTGACCCCACTGTGATCCCGCAGGTCTGGGATTCATCCTGAGTACCTGTATGTTCATATGTAGGCAATCCTTGTCACCCATCCAGGGAACTTGGGTGACAGTTTGGTCATGGTGTCCTAACAGCTTCCGCGTGGCTCTGCTCGCAGACATTTTCCACTCTGCAGCCCGTGATACTGGCAAAATATGATTGGATTATGTCTTTCCTCTACCTAAAACCTTGCAGTGACTTCCCCTTGCTTTTAAATTAGGCAAAAACCTAAGCACACCCACAAAGTTCTGCACTGGGGGTCATCTGCCCAGGCCAACTATTTGCTCCCTGAAACCCTGCCCCACTGGCCTCCTTTCCATCTTTCAAACATCCAAAGTCGGGTGTCTGGGTGCCACGTCCTGCTCAAGAGGGAGTCAGCTCCCGCTCATATGCATGCTTTCTCTAATAAATACATAAAATCTTCTTTAAAAAAATGTCCAAAGCACCTTCATGTCCAAGAACCCACAGGGATTTTGCACCAGCTGCCTCTGACCATACTAGAATGCCCTCCCTCCTCCGGTTCACCAAGTCAATGCAGACATCCTTCAGGCCTGAGGTCAAGCCACACTTGGTCAGGGAAGCTTTCTCTAGTGTCTCATTTGAAGTCAGGCCCCACCCAGGTAGTTTTATACTTGCATGATTATTCAATTACCATCTGTCTCCCCAACCAGACTGTAAGTACCAGGAGGGCAGGGCTCCCATTGGTCTCTAGAGCCTAGCACGTGATACTGATCAGTAAAATGCACGGAGTGGAGGATCTCAATCCTCGAAACAACCCCAGAAAGAGAGGTGTGGGTGTCCCGCTGTCCCAGTTTTATAGTCAATGAAAGGGAGGTACAGAAAAGTGACTTGCCCCAGGTCACACAGCTGGAAGCGGGAGACCTTAAGTTGGAACACACAGCTGTTCAGTCTCATCACTCTGGTTCACTTCACCCCAAAGAAGGCATTTAACAAAAACGTGATGAGCACAAGCATGAAAAACAGGCAGGCTGGGGTACTCAGTGCTCACACCCTGTTTTCTTTTTGCCCTTTCTGCAAACCCAAGGGTGATGTCTAAATGCTCTTGCAGCATCAGTAGTCATGAGTACTTCCAGAGCAAGTGTCACAGTCAAAACCACACCAGCGCCGCCTGAGGGGATTGGGGAACAGGAAAAAGCCATACTGTGTGTAAGGCACTCCTTGTCGTTCTTGCTTACTCTGCATTTGGCAGAGCAAAAAGAAACCTGGAAAACCACCAGGCTGCCTCTAAGAGGGTAAGATTTCCAAATTTAATCCCTTTGCATGGGACCAAGCATGTGTTATGTTGGCTCTAAGATCCACAGAACCACTATCCCCATCGCTGACCATAATGGGGCATTTAGCAAAGCCCTGGAGTCACCACTGAGTCAGAATCGTGGCACAGAGCTGTCCTCCTAAATGTCGTGTGGCCATGAAGATACCCAAGCCATCAAACGAGGACCCTGAGCCTTCCAAGAAAGGCACGGAGCTCTGTGCCAACACCATGGTCAGGTCTTTGGTCCTAATATCCCAGGGACAGACCACTGGTCCCCATCTGAAT